AGGTTGTGCCGCGCCTGCCACGCAAAGCGGCGCGGCGGTAGATGTGAGTTTGTGCCACGCCTGCCACGTGAAAGGAAGGTGGATGTCACCAAGTGCCACGCCTGCCACGCAAAGTGGCGCGGCGCCCCGGGCGTCACAGGCGCCAAATCCCGGCCCAAGGGTGCCACCCAGTACCATAAGTGCCACGCCTGCCACGCAACACGACGGTAGATGTGAGTTTGTACCACGCCTGCCACGTGAAACGAAGGTGGATGTCACCAAGTGCCACGCCTGCCACGCAAAGTGGCGCGGCGCCCCGGGCGTCACAGGTGCCAAATCCCGGCCCAAGGGCGCCACCCAGTACCATAAGTGCCACGCCTGCCACGCAAAACGACGGTAGATGTGAGTTTGTACCACGCCTGCCACGTGAAACAAAGGTGGATGTCAGGTTGTGCCACGCCTGCCACGCAAAGTGGCACGGCGCCCCGGGTGTCACAGGCGCCAAATCCCGGCCCAAGGGCGCCCCAGTGCCATCTGTACCACGCCTGCCACGCAAAACGACCGTGGATGTGCGATTGTGCCACGCCTGCCACGTGAAATCAAGGTGGATGTCAGGTTGTGCCACGCCTGCCACGCAGAAGTGGCGCGGCGTCACGGGCGTCACGGGCGTCTAAACCAAGACCAAGCGCGCCACCCAGTGCCATCTGTACCACGCCTGCCACGCAAAACGACCGTGGATGTGCGATTGTGCCACGCCTGCCACGTGAAATCAAGGTGGATGTCACCAAGTGTCACGCCTGCGAGATTATTGTATGTTTAGTTTGTGTGTGTGAAGTTAGTGTGTGTGTGAAGTTAGTGTGAAATTAGTGTTTAGTTTGTGTGTGTGAAGTTAGTGTGTGTGTGTGTGTGAAGTTAGTGTGAAATTAGTGTATGTTAAGTTAGTGTGTGTGAAATTATTGTTGTTGTATGTATGAGGGTAAAAAGTATTGTCTGTGAGATTATTGTATGTTAAGTTTGTGTGTGTGAAGTTAGTGTGAAATTAGTGTATGTTAAGTTTGTGTGTGTGAAATTATTGTTGTTGTATGTATGAGGGTAAAGTATTGTCTGTGAGATTATTGTATGTTAAGTTTGTGTGTGTGTGAAGTTAGTGTGAAATTAGTGTATGTTAAGTTTGTGTGTGTGAGTTTATTGTGGTTGTATGTATGAGGGTAAAGTATTGTCTGTGAGATTATTGTATGTTAAGTTTGTGTGTGAAGTTAGTGTGAAATTAGTGTATGTTAAGTTTGTGTGTGTGTGAGTTTATTGTGGTTGTATGTATGAGGGAGGCGGCGGGAGAAGGCGTGCCGGAGAAGGATCCCGGGATACAGAATCAAAAACAAGAACCCCACACAAAGTTGTGGGGAAAAATTTCCCCACAGGGTCCAGAAAACACACAAGCAAGTCCCCCACATTTTTTGTGACCCTAGGTTCAAAAAACAAGATGAAGCCCACGAACCCGAATGCTCACACGTATGTTAATGGTACAGATGTCAAAACACATGGTTATGCAGTCACGCACAATACCTTTCTGCCTTTCTGCAATAGTTTATTTGAACAGTCTTGTACATGTTTCCCTTGTTACCAGTCTGCAGTGTGGAGTGGAAAGTGTAGAGTGTGGAGTGTGGAGTGTGAAGTAAGGAGTGTGGAGTGTAAAGTGTGGAGTGGGGAGTGTAGAGTGTGTAAAGTGTAGAATGCGGAGTGTAAAGTGTAGAGTGTGGAGTATGGAGTGTAAAGTGTAGAGTGTAAAGTGTGGAGTGAGGAGAGTAAAGTGGAAAGCGTGGAGTGTAAAGTGTAAAGTGTGGAGTGTAGAGTGTATAGTGTAGAGTGTAAAGTGTAGAGTGTGGAGTGTGGGGTGTAAAGTGTGGAGTGTAAAGTGTAGAGTGTGGAGTGCAAAGTGTGGAGTGTAAAATGTGGAGTGAGGAGTGTAAAGTGTGGAGTGTGGAGTGTAAAGTTTGGAGTGTGGAGTGTGGAGTGTAAAATGTGGAGTGAGGAGTGTAAAGTGTGGAGTGTGGAGTGTAAAGTGTGAAGTGTAAAGTGTGGAGTGTGGAGCGTAAAGTGTAGAGTGTGGAGTCTGGAGTGGAAAGTGTAGAGTGTGGTGTGTAGAGTGTGGAGTGTGGAGTGTAAAGTGTGGAGTGAGGAGAGTAAAGTGGAAAGCGTGGAGTGTAAAGTATAAAGTGTGGAGTGTGGAGTGTACAGTAAAGTGTGCAGTGTGGAGTGCGGAGTGTGGAGTGGAAAGTGTAGAGGGTGGAGTGTGGAGTGTGGAGTGAGGAGTGTAAAGTGTGGAGTGTGGAGTGAGGAGTGTAAAGTGTGGAGTGTGGAGTGTGGAGTGTAGAGTGTGGAGTGTGGAGTGTAAAGTGTGAAGTGTAAAGTGTGGAGTGTGGAGCGTAAAGTGTAGAGTGTGGAGTCTGGAGTGGAAAGTGTAGAGTGTGGTGTGTAGAGTGTGGAGTGTGGAGTGTAAAGTGTGGAGTGAGGAGAGTAAAGTGGAAAGCGTGGAGTGTAAAGTATAAAGTGTGGAGTGTGGAGTGTACAGTAAAGTGTGCAGTGTGGAGTGCGGAGTGTGGAGTGGAAAGTGTAGAGTGTGGTGTGTAGAGTGGAGTGTGGAGTGTAAAATGTAAAGTGTGGAGTGTGGGGTGTAAAGTGTGGAGTGTGGGGTGTAAAGTGTGGAGTGTAAAGTGTAGAGTGTGGAGTGTAAAGTGTGGAGTGTAAAGTGTGGAGTGAGGAGTGTAAAGTGTGGAGTGTGGAGTGTAAAGTGTGGAGTGTGGAGTGTGGAGTGGAAAGTGTGGAGTGTGAAGTGTGGAGTGTGGAGTGTGGAGTGGAAAGTGTGGAGTGTGAAGTGTGGAGTGTAAAGTAAGGAGTTTGTAGTGTAAAGTGTGGAGTGTGGAGTGTAAAGTGTAGAGTGTGGAGTGTGGAGTGTAAAGTGTAGAGTGAGGAGTGGAAAGTGTAGAGTGTAGTGTAAAGTGTGGAGTGTGGAGTGTAAAGTGTAGAGTGTGGAGTGCGGAGCTTCCCCCATAGACACGGCGACGCCACAGGAAAACCAGAGACTCGAGACGAGACACGTGGGTGCAAAAAAACGAGCATTTCGTGCGAGACTTCCTCCAATTTTGATATTTTCCACACGTTATCAAACAGGTTGGAATGTCACAAAGTGCCACGCCTGCCACGCAAAACGACATGACAACCTGCGTGGAAACATTCGAAAAGGAGAGGTTTTGCGGCTTCCCCCATAGACACGGCGAAACAACAGGAAAACCAGAGACTCGAGACGAGACACGTGGATGCAGAAAAACCAGCATTTCGCGCGAGACTTCCTCCAATTTTGACAATTTCGACACATTATCAAACAGGTTGGACGGCACAAAGTGCCACGCCTGCCACGCAATACGACATGACAACCTGCGTGGAAACATTCGAAAAGGAGAGGTTTTGCGGCTTCCCCCATAGACACGGCGAACCGACAGGAAAACCAGAGACTCGAGACGAGACACGTGGATGCAGAAAAACCAGCATTTTGTGCGAGACGTCCTCCAATTTTCACGCGAGATGAGACAGGTGAAGCACCAAAACGAGCATTTCGCACGAGACTTCCTCCTATATTTTGGCACTTTGCAGCTTCAAAATCGACGTTTTCCTACGAGTTTTCCTTAGAACCTGAAAATTTGCAACCTCAAAATCGATGTTTCGTGCGAGGCTTCCGTCAATTTTCAGCACATGTCACAAAATGCCACGCCTGCCACGGAATTTGCACCTTGTCACCACTTGACGCAGCCCTGCCAATGCGATTTACAAAAAACACGCAACAGGACACGTCTAAAGTGCTGCGCCTGCCACGAAAAATGACGATGGACACGTCCAAAGTGCTGCGCCTGCCACGAAAACTGCAACACATCTTCTGAAAACGTCACAAAAGTATTGCGCCTGCCACGCAAAACGATTTTCAACACGTTGCAAAACACGTCTGAATGTCACGAAGTGCCACGCCTGCCACGCGAAACGAAGCAACGACACGTCTGAAACCTCCAAAAATGACCACCTCTGCAGAACTTCCCATAGGCACGGCCATACGGGGATCGCGCGGATGGTTGCGGACGGTTGCGGACGGTTGCGGACGCGGACGCAACATCGAGCGAACACACCCTCAACCCCCAGACCCCCAGAGTGAAACGGGAACCCTTGCTACGCATTCGGGAAAAATCTGGTTAGGTCCGAAAAACGTGTACAGGTCCAAAAAAAGGGCGCCCAGGTCCAAAAAACATGCATCCCGAAAAAGAGGCCGCGAAAAGCACTGGGAAACATATCCGAAATCGGAATTTGGTAAATATTTTGACCCCTGTAATTCAATGATGAATGACAAATTTCCTATCGCAACTTGGGACATTTGGAAACAAAGGAAATCTCGACGCCATCACAGTTTTACACAAGTCCATCCAAAATGGCATAAATGAAAATCGAAAAAAAACTGCCGGGCCGCTACTGGCGCCGGAACTGAGTTTAAACATGGTTAAACCATTTTAAACCAGGCTTTGGGAAATGTAGTCGCATCCATTTGGGACCGCAATATGCATCAAAAGTCTGGATGACTTCAGCCGAAAATCAAAGGGAAGGCTGAAGGACTTCTGCACTAACCGGGGGAGGCATGAATCTGACTATTCCATGACATGCTACGCTGATTGCTTTGTGTCAACATTGTCAGCAAGTGGAGGTCAATCAGAACCATCATTGCAGTATCGTCCCAGGTGGGATAGACAATAAAATAAACACATTTCAAACCTTTCCAAACTACCCAGCAATAAGTGAACACAAGTAAACTGTATAGAACTATGACTATCTATGACTATCTATGACTATCTTTCCAAATAAACATGCATATAAAGAAACAATGTAGCCAACCCCATAATGCAGATGTTGATTTCGGCCACCCAAGCTGGTGCAGAGTCCAGTCCGGTTGGGTTCGGATTAGATGATCACGCTGGAAACCAGGCAGCTGAGCCCCAAGGTGGAGCAGTGGCATCGTACGTGTGGTTTTTTCGAGTGCCATGGTTGCAAATACTGTATCCTCAGCTGGTGGCTTCAGTTACACACCCCGTGGTGCCTCAGATACCTATACCATCCTATACCTATAAAGCTATGATATGCTATGATCTCATAAAACCTAGTGGTTTTAATTCTTGGCTCCTACCACTGCAGTTTTTTCTTGTAATTGGTTGTTTATCATATTTTGGTCCTGAAAACACTACGAGACATCACGAGACTCATGGGCGATGATACCAAGGCACTCCACCACTTCAAGAGAGGGTTCTCTTCGGGATTCCTCTCCCTGTTCCCGTGATCCGACAGAATCGCTCGGAATGTGACCACGTCCTCAGGATTTTTTTTGTTTTCGTTCGGATACCGTGGAATCGCCGGCTTTCCAAATGCACGGAGTTCTAACATGTTGAAACTATCACCTGTACTTTTTGAACTCCAGCTGGAAAATGGGTCAACTCCAACTCTAAACTGATTCAGCTCTCAAATTTCCCAGCCAATTTAGCGCATGTTCTTTGTGAAAAAAAATGGCAAGACCTGCAACCCGTTAGGGAAACCCAGTCTACTACGGCGGGCCATGGTATCATATGGTATCCATTTTGTTTGTGAAATGTCTTCCCCTTCCTGCGATCTCCTCCTTCCTATTGGTGGTTGTGTCACCAATTCTAGTTAGTTTCAAGTTGAGGCCCTAAGCTTGACTTCACATAAATCACATTCTTGATGGCGATATCTCTATGCTCCACCTAAACCAAACTTTACATCCCCAAACGGATGCTTCAAAATCCGTGATCTCCGTCTGAAAAAAAACAATTGACCCATACCCCAAACGACCCCGTAGAGTTCTCCAAGTTCTCCAAGAGTCCAATTTGCCTCGCAACTCGGCTGCCAACTGCCGGCCTCGCGCCAAACGACGCCCATTGTTGTTCTCCTGCGCCTGGGGAGACAGAGTTACAGCCAGGGAAGCACAGGAGAATCCGAAAAACTTTCGGAGATGATGTTGGCGAAATTGACCAAGAACGGACTGTATCTGACATCAGGTAAGAACAGATTGTATATGTTTGGTTATGACTGTATGACACTTTTCACGCTTTTCATGACTTCCGCAGATCAACGGAACTATTGCCAGTAATTAATCAATTGCAGGAACACACACACACTAGAAAAGAACTGGATCATTGGAGTGATCCGTCGGGAACTGAATCCCATAACGTGCAATTAGGCAAGATTATATATATATAATATATAATTATATATATATAAACATGGGAGTATGGTGGCCACCAGCCGCGACTTACATGCGCCCAGGTGCACCACCTTCACGGGTCCCGGCGAGGTGTCTTCGTTGGTCACAGACCCCCCCGGGACCCCGGTGACCCCCTGCTTTCATAAAATATAAAAAATATAGACGAGCCGCCCTCGAAGTTTTACGTTTGCTCAGACTTTCCACACACACACACCCTGCACTAGGCAGGGTGGAGTCCTTGCCAATGAGGTGAAGGTGAGGATGAAAAGGGGATGAAGATGAGATGAAAATTGACGAGGAGGTGAGAAACTACTTAACCGGGACACGGGGAAGGGAACGCAAAAGAAGAGGGAGGGAGCAAACACCAACACCAACTGGCCCGGAGCGGGCAAACCCTGAAAAGGCAAGGGAAAAGAAAAACGGAGGCCGACGGACACGGAACAGGACCAGCGGAAGGGGGGGGAAGGACGGAAGCGCCTGAACCAACCTGACACAGCGAAACTTACGCCTACGCACGCACAGGACCCAACCTACCTGGGGAGGGAAGAATGCATGAAATAGGGGACCGAATGGGGACTTAGTTGATGAAAAAGTGGAAGCAACAAAATTAAATGGGATTCAGTTCAAACCTAGAGAGTCGTGCATTATTCCCCCGAAGGGACGGTAGTCGGTCAACCCACGAATGGGCATTAAACGGCTTTTCAAATTCAAATGAATTAGATGCACAGATGTTTGACCTCACAAAAAGACCATACCTGCAGGAAAAGGACATGCCTGCTGCCTTTTGGACCTGTTGAAACGCGAGAAGCTTGAGCAGCAGCAAAAAGGAAGGTTTCTGGCAGTTCAGAACGGCTCCACGTACATAAGATTGAAACAACCAAGGGGCAAAAGGACGGCGGAGTCTGCGGGACGAAATGGCTGGCAACAGAAAGGCCGACTGTTTCATTTTACTTAAATGAATATTAAATTAAAATGTGTAAATTCAGACGTCAAGTGTCCGCATTCACCTTAAGAAAGCTTCCCTCAATTGGGTCCATGGCACCATTGTCGGAGCCATCATGGAAATCACACTAGAAAAGAACTGGATCATTGGAGTGATCAGTCGGGAACAACGTGCAATTAGACAAGATTATATAATATTATATATATATATATAAAATTATATATATATATATATATAAACATGGGAGTATGGTAGCCACCAGCTGCGACTTATATGCGCCCAGGTGCACCACCAAAGTCCCGCAGGTACGTTTTCACGGGTCCCGGCGAGGTGTCTTCGTTGGTCACCGACCCCCGGGACCCCGGTGACCTCCTGCTTTAATAAAATATAAAAAATATATAAACGAGCCGCCATCGAATTTTTACGTCTGTTCAGACGTTCCACACACACAAGAATATCCAAGGGGACATCACCAATAATCTATCACAAACTCAGCTCATGGCTAATGCCACCAATGCCACCATGCAAAAAACGCGATGCGCGCTTCGCACCTGAAGCTCTGCTGCTGGGTCATTGAAGTGCTTGAGCTCTTGGGATTGGTAGCAGTCCACTGCAATAGCCAAGCCTCCAAAGACCAGCCGTGACAACTCTCGAAACCTTACAAATACTGGTTGATTTGATGTGTATGTATGTATATATATATATGTAATATCATATTTACATATATACATACGTACATACAAGATCGTACAAGATCATACAAGTATCTGATACAATTAGGTTTGCTCCTTGATTGGCTTGGGTTTGGTCCCTTGTTTTAAACGAGCATGTCCAAGGAACAGGGTACCAATCGCCTTATTAAAATTTGTCAAAGGAGAGCTGGAAGGCAGCGGAATTCAAGTGCCCATCTTTGAAGAACCATTGCTTTGCATGCCTGCAAGACTACCAAACAACCATGATACATATATACAAGTTATAGCAGTATGGACACATGGAGCTTCAACGATGAAGTTACTTTAAACCAACAACCTTCACTTACCCTCCACTAATCAAACATGACTAGCTGGTAAATCCCCGAACTAAATGGAGTTTGCTGGGAAAACCATTGATCTAACTGGGGGATTTTCCATTGAGCAAGCCATGTTGACACCTCAGGGTACCATCCCATTACGTATGTCATTGTTTTTTTGACATTATACCCATAGCCTATACCCATTGCATAGCCTATATATGCCTTTATTCATTAAATCCCTATTAAACCACCCAGAGATTTTTCTCGCCACCGCGACCGCGCCTGGTTTCTCTTCGGAAAAGCGCTGATGGACGGCTGTACCAAAGCGACCCACCTCTACATGCGCGAGATCCCCAAAGGCATCTGCCAGGAGCACCTTGGCGAATCACTGCGTTTGAATGGGGATATCATGGGTATATAGCTGATTTACCCAGGGACCCATGAACAATGGTGATTTTCCATAGTTAGGTTAGTTTGCCAGAGGGTATGATATTATAATGTCTACCTCTGATTTATAAACCTGGGGGCCCCCCCCCTCTTTTACCTCAAATAAAGTTAAAAACTTGTTTGTATGTATTGGTTTTAAATTACCACAATTTAAAACGAATACATAAACAAAATTTCCAAAAAAAACAGGAATCCAACAATTGTTTTAGTATTGGTTTAGTATTCATCTCATGGACTTAGTATTGATTTAGTATTCATGTCATGGATTTAGTATTGATTTAGTATTCATGTCATGGATTTAGTATTGATCTAGTACTCATCTCATGGATTTAGTATTGATTTAGTATTCATGTCATGGATTTAGTATTGATTTAGTATTGATTTAGTATTCATGTCATGGATTCAGTATTGATCTAGTATTCATATCATGAATTTAGTATTGATTTAGTATTCATGTCATGGATTTAGTATTGATCTAGTACTCATGTCATGGATTTAGCATTGATTTAGTATTCATGTCATGGATTTAGTATTGATCTCGTATTCATGTCATGGATTTAGTAGTGATTTAGTATTCATGTCATGGATCTGCGCAAATCTGGGTTTAGGGCCAAAAACAATTAGCTTTATTCAGGGTCAAACTCTAATTAGTGCCAAGGCACCTCATGGGGGGTACCCTTGACGAGTTGATTTGGGATTGATTTTGGATAATTTTGAATAAAGGTTTTGAATAGAAAAGAGCAACCATTATTTTCTGAAAATTTGAAGTTATCAAGGTAAGATCTAATGAGCTGGCAATATGAATTAGTACATGAAAGCCACCTGAAATAAAGCATGGAAAAAAAAATCAGCCCCATCTTGGCAAATCTGGGGTTGGGGCCCAAAAAATTTAGCTTTATTTAGGGGTAGTTTATAATTTATTTTGGGAAAAATTTAGCTTTATTCAGGGTTAGTTTACAAATCGTAGGTCAACATTAATGGGTATATATATATAATTCTGACAATCGCTTTATCAAAGTAATTCTCTCTGATTCTCAAATTTCTATTGTCCAGCTGGGGTTGAACATGTTTGAAATATGTTTGCACACTTGCAGGGTTGTGCCCAGCCCTAACACACTGTGTGCGCGACATGCACATGTGTCAGGTGGGATCATTTCAAGACAAAAGAGTCAGACGCGCAGTCTTAGAGCGGAAGGCGTTCAAAGTTATATAACATCCCTGAATCCCTGGCAATCAACTACATGTTATGTCCTATGACCGTTGTGTTATTGGCCAGTTAGTTGTAAGTGTTCCTGACAATTGGTGTGGCCTACACATTTGGGAAAATCTCGTGGCGTGTTGCTTCCTGGGTACCGAAAATGCAGGAGCCACGGACGGAGTAGCCTCGAGCAACTGCAATGCATCCTTCACGCTGCTGCAATCGTTCATCATCCTTTCCTGAGCTAGGGCAGTCATGGCAGCTGCTGGGTATCACTCGAAACACCATTGTATATATATAATATATATAATATATATATATATCTATGCACATGTGTATATGCGTATAGTTAGTTGTCTGTGTGTGTAATTAATGCAATGTAATGAAATGTAGTGAAATGTAGTGAGATGTGATGAAATGTAGTGCAATATAATGCAACGCAATGTGTACTTTAATGTATGCAATGTAGGCGATGCAATGCAATGTATTGTCATTGTAATGTACTGTAAGATATTGCAATGTGTTGTAATGAGCTGCAATGATTGCAATGTATTGTATTGTATTGTACTGTACTGTATTGTCATGTGATGCCATGTCATGTCATGTAATGTCATGTATGTAGGTAGGAATGTAGGAATGTAGGCATGCAGGTATCCAGGTATGCTGGTATGTAGGTAAATAAATAGGCAGGCAGGCTGGCAGGCAGTTAGGTAGGTAATCAGGTAGGTAATCAGGTATGCATGCATATATGCATATACGTAAATAGTTTTTTTTAAAAAAAAATATATATAAAAGGGTTTAAATGGGTACGGTATGTTGCATCACCAAAGAACGTGAAGTAGCCAATGCTGCGCGACTCTTTAATATCTTTAACATGTACCCCCTCTGGGGAACCATGTGGGATACTTTGTTTGCCAGCTGCAGAACCAGGAGGACCAATTCGTACGGAAATGATTTATACGTTTGTAAGTGTACGCGCAAACCCCCCAGTTCGCCCACACAACTTCTTAGGGATTTTCAAGGAATATAAATTCCGGCCCCCGTTAAACTTTACAGTCCATTGGGAAGATCAACAAGGGTATTAGGAATATAAATTCCCACCCCCGTTAAACTTTACATTCAATTGGGAAGATCAACATGGGTATGAGGAATATAAATACCCACCCCCGTTAAACTTTACATTCAATTAGGAAGATCAACATGGGTATTAGGAATATAAATTCCCACCCCCGTTAAACTTTACATTCAATTGGGAAGATCAAGATTAGGAATTTGAATTCCCACCGCCGTTAAGCTTTACATTCCATCGGGAAGATCAACAAGGGTATTAGGAATGTAAATTCCCACCACCGTTAAACTTTACATTCCATTGGGAAAATCAACAAGGGTATTAGGAATATAAATTCCCACCACCGTTAAACTTTACATTCAATTGGGAAGATCAACATGGGTATGAGGAATATAAATTCCCACCCCCGTTAAACTTTACATTCAATTAGGAAGATCAACATGGGTATGAGGAATATAAATACCCACCCCCGTTAAACTTTACATTCAATTAGGAAGATCAAGATTAGGAATTTGAATTCCCACCACCGTTAAGCTTTACATTCAATTGGGAAGATCAACAAGGGTATTAGGAATGTAAATTCCCACCACCGTTAAGCTTTACATTCAATTGGGAAGATCAACAAGGGTATTAGGAATGTAAATTCCCACCACCGTTAAGCTTTACATTCCATCGGGAAGATCAACAAGGGTATTAGGAATGTAAATTCCCACCCCCGTTCAACTTTACATTCCATTGGGAAAATCAACAAGGGTATTAGGAATATAAATTCCCACCCCCGTTGAACCTTACATTCAATTGGGAAGATGAAGATGAAAATGAAGAAGATGATGATAATGATGATGATGATGATGATAATGGTGATGCTGCTGATGGTGATGATGATGATGATGTTGTTGTAGTAGTTGTAACATTCAACGCACAGGTAGCTAAGCTGCGCGTTGCAAGATGAAAGCCATGATCATGGACATGTGCATTTTGTCCGGCAAAACGCAGTGTTTTTTTTATGTTCGGACATGTCGTCGGCATTGGCGCGGGCAAACTGAGGGGCTTGCCCGTAAGTGTACTATGCCTTACACGCCTCCTACATAATTTTTCAGAAAATCAAATACCTCTTGAAGGGGAGCCATATCTGCTGATCACTGCAAACCGCATGAACATGATCATTTCTTGAGTCAGGAACCCGCAAAAATCTTCGACATTGAATCGTATATAGGTTTGTTTTGAGACCCATAGGGGTCAAGGTATGGTGAATGATCCACAACAGCACCGTTGGGATTAGCCACCAACTACCGGAGGTTCTTGCTGCAATTGTTTCTTGAAATGAGGAGAAATGTGGGACACCAACGCGTCCAAAAATGTGCTACTCCAAACTATCAGAATCATCCTCACGGATTTTCACCCATCTTCCACTTTTAAAATGGCAAGGTATCCATGGTCTCCCCCCATTTTTCACGCCAACTACACCGTAAAGCTTCACAAAGCTTGCAGAATGGCACGCTCTCCACTTCCATGTTTCCAGAGGATTGCTCCCACGCCAGTGTATAGACCTCAAGACGCTGGGACCATGTCTTTATCTTGAGCTGAATGCAAGCGATATCAAACCATGTGTTGTATATAGATGGTGCTATGTATATATATATATATATATACACCAGTAGTGCCGCACAAGGCGGTGGCTGAAGTTTCAAGGATAGGACACTATAGGAGAGGTGAGTTGTTGTGATGCATGGATGACAGACCGAATCCACTGATGGACCGAAAGGTGGTTGGAGTTGTTGTTGTTGGTGTTTTTAGTTGTTGTCGTTGTCGTTGTCGTTGTTGTTTTTTGGTGGTTGCGATGGTTGCAGTGGTCACCTCACTCACAACTCCTGGATGTAGTGTGGTGTAGTGCAGTTGTAGTTGTAGTGTAGTGCAGCGTAGTGGAGTTGTAGCTGTACTGTAGTGTATTTAGTGAAGTGTAGTCGCAGTTGCAGTTCCAGTTGTAGTTGTGGTGTGTGGTCTGATTAGTGTAGTGTAATGTAGTGTAGTGTAGTGTAGCGTACTGTAGTTGTAGTTGTAGTGTGGACTAGTGTAGTGTAGTGTAACGGAGTGTAACGTAGTGTAACGTAGTGTAGTTATAGTTGTAGTTGTAGCATGGTGTAATGTAATTAGTGTAGTGTAGTGTAGTGCAATGTAGTGGTAGTTGTAGTTGTAGTTGCAGCTGTAGCGTAATGTAATGTAATGTAATGAAATGTAAATGTAATGTAATGTATTGTAATTAGTGTAGTGTAGTGTTGTGTATTGTAGTTGTTGTTGTATTCGTATTTGTAGTTGTAGTGTGCTGCAGCTTGATTAGTATAGTGTAGAGTAATGTAGTGTAGTTGTAATTGTACTTGTAGCTGTGGTAGCACTAGTTGCAGTTGGAGCGGTAGTGTAATTAGTGTAGTGTAATGCAGCGTGGTATATTTGTATTTGTAGTAGTAGCGTAGTGTAGTGGTAGTGTAGTGGTAGTGTTGTGTAGTTGTAGTTGTACTTGTCTATTTACCTATCTATCTGTCTATCTGCAAGCTTGAAAACGAAGCAATCCTACAAGATTTCCTCAATGTTTTTAACTTCGCAACATCGAAAACGCAGTTCTGCGAGATTTCCTCAATGTTTTAACTTGACAACGTCAAAAACGAAGCTATTCTGCGAGACTTCCTCAATTTCGAAGTTGACAACATCAGAAACGAAGCAATTCTGAGAGACTTCCTTCAAAAATAGAAAGTTGAGTGCAGAGCTGACGGCCTCGTACCAATGCGTTTTGAGATTTTTCCATTCCATCTGTCTAAAGTATTGCACCTGCCACGAAAAAATGAAGCCAGGTCATACGAAGTGCTAAACCTGGCACGCGAAATCATCTTAGCAAACCTGAAGATCTGATGCTCCAAAATGCAACCCCTCTCAGGAAATCAGCGCCCGGACCTCCTAACATCTCTGATAAACATGCCTCTTGTACTGCCCCTGCCACGGAAAATGCATCTTTGCATATCCTCTTCAAGTGTCCCACGCCTGGCAACGCTTTCGGAACTGCTGCAAAGCCCTCAAGTTTGTGTTTTGTACATTTTGATTTCGAAATGTGCTTCGCGCCACAACGGCGTGCATTTTTTCGACATCTCAACTTGCAAAGGTGGTCCGAGCATGGTGTGTTTTGTACATTTTGACTTCGAAATGTGCTTCGCGCCACAACGGCGTGCACTTTTTCGACATCTCAACTTCCAAAAGTGGTCCGACCCTGCTATGTTTTGTGCATTTTGACTTCGAAATCTCCTTCGTGCCACAACGGCGTGCAATTTTTCGACATCTTACCTTCCAAAAGTGGTCCAAACCATTGGAAAAACACAGTGTTTCGCGACTTTCCTACCTTTTCGCGCATCTGCATCTTCTTTCTTCTTACTCTTTCTCTTCTACTCTTCTTTCTTCTTCTCTTCTCTAACTCTTCCCACCTCTGTCCATATTGTCGGAAGTTTGACTTCTAAACTTCCTTCCACACACACACATATATATATATATACATAGGTATGAATGCATGTATGAGTGTATGGGTATATATGTATACATACACATATGCTGTGCTCATATCCATGTCTACGTATGCACATACTTATTGAAGCTCTATTGAAATAAATATCATATCTTATATATATGTATTAAATACTATAATATACTATATCTATATATGCTTACAAATATTTTGTATATATTACGGATTTATACAATATATAGAAATATAGCACACATATCATCCATGCATACTTGGAGGTTTCCTAACATGGGGATACCCCATCCATTTATAGATCATAGTTTCCATGAAATAAACCATCCAGCTATTGGGTGCCATATGAGGAAACCTCCATATGTTGACATGCATATATCTTATATAGATCCTAAGCCACCAAGGAACGAAGGCTAAGCCTTGTGAATTGATCCCACGCGTTGCTTGGCCCGGCTCCACCTCAGCGGTTGATCCGAAGGGAACAGGAACTCATCCAGTGAATATCACGCGACTAGCGACCAATAGTGGTTAATCATGGTTAATTTTACTGGAAAATCACTGGATGATAACTTAATGGAATTTGAACCAATAGTGGAATATCATACCAGTATTAATAATGACTAATCATGGTTAACGGTGGTCAGTAAAAGTTAATAATGGTTTGTTCATGTCTAGTAAAGGTTAGTATAGTGGTAATCCATGGGATATAAATAGGGACTACAATTGGAATATCATAATAGGATCATCATGGGGGTATATATGTCTGATACAACTTTACAATCCCATTGCAACGGGTATATTATATAGCTGCCAAAATTCATGATATAAGTCCAGAACGGCACCTCATGGGGGAGTGATTTTTGCTCTAAAAATGGTCAAAAATACTGGTATTTACAGTGTTTTGTGACCAAAGTGGGCTTAAAACCGTTATTTTAGAGCAAAAAATAGAGTTCACCTCCAAAGGCTCTCATATGCTGTCATAAATCACTGGCATTTACAGACTCTTGTGGCAGGATTCATTTTTTCCTGTGAGGCTTGCAAAGAACTACAAACAATCAGCACATGACAGAAAACATCTGCTGCACAACATGCCATAAGAATGGGTAGCTGCACATCTTGGAACAGAATATACAGTAGCAATAGGTGACTAGTGTGATGGAGGTGATGGAGAAATTCTATTGCTAAAAGCAACTGATAAGATATAGGTGTTTCTTCATGAACTTGTTAGATTGATATCATCTTAACATATATATATTGTATATAGAAGCATTTGCGCTACATAAGAAGTATGGTGGGAAGGGCATACATTATATAGGTGGATATAACACAAGCACATCTAACACTCTGGATAAGAAGGATGGTGGGAATGTTACAATTCAAGAAGTAGGTACATATCTCGTTTATCATTGTTATCTTGCAGAGTCTTGTCAGCAGTCTCATTTCAATAGTTGGACAGAGAGAGAGAGAGAAAGCCTTAGAGACAAAGACGTGTGTCAAGCTGTTGAATATTAAGGTCAGGCAACCTGTGTGGTGGCATAGCTATTCAAAGATAACGGTATGTTTGCTTCTTGGAAACATAAGTTTAAAATATGGCCAAGATCCAAACATATACAATCTAGAATCACCAAAACCTGCACAGGCATCAAAAAAAACAAACAAACCAATAGATGCACCAAACCTGCACAAGCACCAAAAAAAACAAAAAAAACACTAGATGCACCAAACCTGCAAAGGCACCAGCAAAAAAAAAACAGGAACTATGGGTCCACTTCTGAGTAGTTGCTGGGTTTTTTGTTTTTTGTGTTTTTTTGGTGCCTGTCAATGTTTTGTGAAGTCAGAGTCACCAAACCTGCACAGGCACCAAAAAAACCAAAAAAACCAAACCACTAGATGCACCAAACCTGCACAGGCACCAAAAAAAACAAAAAAACTAAAATTTCCAGGAACTATGGGTCCACTTCTGAGTAGTTGCTGAAATTTTTGTTTTTTTTGTTTTTTTAGTGCCTGTCGATGTTTGGTGCATCTAGTGGTTTGGTTTTTTTTGTTTTTGTTGGTGCCTGTCAATGTTTTGTGAAGTCAGGGTCACCAAACCTGCACAGGCACCAAAAAAACCAAAAAAATCAAAGTGAAAGTTGAGGAAACATCGACAGGCACCAAAAAAAACAAAAAAAACAAAATTTCCAGGAACTATGGGCCCACTTCTGGGTAGTTGCTGGAAATTTTGTTTTTTTTGGTTTTTTTGGTGCCTGTGCAGGTTTGGTGCATCTAGTGGTTTGGTTTTTTTGGTGCCTGTCAATGTTTTGTGAAGTCAGAGTCACCAAACTTGCACAGGCACCAAAAAAAACAAAAAAAACAAAGTGAAAGTTGAGGAAACATCGACAGGCACCAAAAAAAACAAAAAAAAAACAAAATTTCCAGGAACTATGGGCCCACTTCTGGGTAGTTGCTGGAAATTTTGTTTTTTTTGTTTTTTTGGTGCCTGTGCAGGTTTGGTGCATCTAGTGGTTTGGTTTTTTTGGTTTTTTTGCTGCCTGTCAATGTTTTGTGAAGTCAGAGTCACCAAACCTGCACAGGCACCAAAAAAACCAAAAAAAACAAAGTGAAAGTTGAGGAAACATCGACAGGCACCAAAAAAACCAAAAAAAAACAAAATTTCCAGGAACTATGGGCCCACTTCTGGGTAGTTGCTGGAAATTTTGTTTTTTTTGTTTTTTTTTGGTGCCTGTGCAGGTTTGGTGCATCTAGTGGTTTGTTTTTTTTGGTTTTTTTGGTGCCTGTCAATGTTTTGTGAAGTCAGAGTCACCAAACCTGCACAGGCACCCAAAAAAAACAAAAAAACAAAGTGAAAGTTGAGGAAACATCGACAGGCACCAAAAAAAACAAAAAAAACAAAATTTCCAGGAACTATGGGCCCACTTCTGGGTAGTTGCTGGAAATTTTGTTTTTTTGGGTTTTTTTGGTGCCTGTGCAGGTTTGGTGCATCTAGTGGTTTGTTTTTTTTGTTTTTTTTGGTGCCTGTCAATGTTTTGTGAAGTCAGAGTCACCAAACCTGCACAGGCGCCAAAAAAACCAAAAAAACCAAAGTGAAAGTTGAGGAAACATCGACAGGCACCAAAAAAAACAAAAAAAACAAAATTTCCAGGAACTATGGGCCCACTTCTGGGTAGTTGCTGGAAATTTTGTTTTTTTTGTTTTTTTTGGTGCCTGTGCAGGTTTGGTGCATCTAGTGGTTTGGTTTTTTTGGTTTTTTTGGTGCCTGTCAATGTTTTTGTATATCTCATGTCAAGATCATGATGAAAAAAGTGTGTTTTACTAGGGTTTTAGACCCTCCAAATGCATAAAACATCGGTATTTACAGTGTTTTATCATCATTTTTAATGAAAATTCACTCCCCCACGGGGTGCCGCCCTCTATAAGTATATAATGGTATATATAGGTAATTTATGGTAATTTACGGTCGAGTATTGGTGAACCCAATGGATGAAAATTCAAAAGCCAGAAAGAACAAAATACGACACTCCAAAACCATGCAGGTACAACAAAATACGCAAATATATGCAAATATAGTGGGAATACACGGAAGGGGATTGTAATGGGAATGCAATGGTATACTATGGATTGAGTAGGCAGCAAAATGATCTGTGGGTGTGGCTGGAAATGGGGTGGTATCAATTTCCAACGGAAGTATATCATGGCATACCATTGCCAATTTTGTACACCCTGCAACAAGTTAAATGTTTAGTTGGTTAGTATACATCGCCACTTCTTGGCACAAGATTGCAGCACAAGTCCTATCCGTTCAACTCAACCAAGGGCTGTAAATCGGGTATGCAAAAGCCAGGGATGTGCAAACCCAGCTCCAAGCCCAGCCGCACGAGGTGCTAGGCTGCCACAGCAAAGAGCGCCTTTTCAGGCTCGCATAGCCATGTAGGCATCTAAGTCCCACCCTGGGCCGATAGCGGCGGTGGTCGGCAAATGAAAAAGGTGAAAAGAGGTTCTTAGGGCTAGGTGCATGGCATGCAACTTCACACGGAGGGAAAGTTGTTTGTACAACCTCCAGCTAGTTGAAACGCATCCCAGGTGGAGCGTTTACCACACGCATAGCATGCTCATCGAAAAAATCTGGTGGCATCATCACCAGGAACCACGAAATCCTGCTGAGCGCAAATCGCGCACGGCTGGAAAATCCTAATTTCACGGCCACTATCGTACAGCTCATCGCACTCATCATCGCGATGCCATACGGAGCTTCCATCCTGGATGTGGATCTCGTCACCAAGCGGGCATCGACGGACATGCTGTCGCAGATCCACCTGAGCTTGGTATCCAGCACCCAAGTCTTGTGTGGCCAGCGCCAGAGCTCCTTGAAGTTCTTGGGCTGCAGCACGCTGTTCCACAAAGGCTCGTCTGGCACGGTCATAGGCTGTGGTTCTTCTATCGAAAGCTTCTCGCAAGCCATCGTACATCACCACCAAAGCGTTGGCACGGTGGTTGCTTTGATGTACTTCGACTTCCAAGTCGCCAATTCGACGTTGGAGTCGCCCCAGGCCAGCTCGAAGTCTCCAGGCATAGATGCCAGCACAGCACAAGGCCAAAATGGCCAGCCCCAGGAGAACCATTTCCAATCTCCTCGGGAAAGAGGCCACCACGACGTCCATGGTGTCAAAAGCCAGGGGCGCCAGGGCATTCTGTACCATGTCCACATACTCAATGGTGTCTGCGGACTGTGCAAAGTAGGTCGCGGCAGGGACCTTGGCATACTGTCAAACCATGTCATTCTTTGGAAATTGGGCATTCTTTGGGGTCAGGTCATTCGTTGGAACCTGTTCAAAGTCAGAGACCAGGGCATTCGTTGGCTCCAGGTCATTCTCAATCATCTCGACATCTTCAGAAGCTTCCAGCTCCTCCTTGATCATGCGCAGCTCTGACTGCGGTTTCTTCTTGGTGTTTCGGCTCTTCGTCGTAGATTCAAGTTCATGTTTCTTCTCCTCCAGGGATTTCTTCTTTGCGGCCACATAGTTGGGGTCGTAGAGGAATTTGATGCGACCATGACGCACCTTGTCTGCTAACTGCTGTCGCATGCTGTCCTCTGTCAATCCATCAGCCAACTGACGGTCCGACGACACCCATCGAAGTCCACCTCCAAGACCAGAGATCTGCTCCTTGACAACACGGATCTCCAAAGACGACCGTCCGTCGGTCACATTTGACACCGGCCAGACTCTCTCTGTGGTAAGAGTCAAAAAGTGCTTTGGCATCTGTCACCATTGTTGGTGCCAATCTCGTCTTCAGGTTGAGCAGGGTCGCCAAAGGAACATCAGGTTGAAGAAGATGTTCGTAGTATCTGCAGGCGAACTCGGTGGCGTCGGCTGCACATCCTGCCGACTGAGCTTCGGCAGATATAGAGAGCTACGTGCAACTCTCGGCAGCTTGAAAGACTTCCAATCCAAGATGTGGTACACATCCTCCCGAGTTTCAAGCACATGCTTTGGGGCCAGGAGCACAAAGTAGCCACCCTGAGAAGTACCATCAGGTCTGCTGCAAAATGAAGCATCAAATGCAGTGATCATCCGAAGGTCTCCAACAGGGCCAAGTGGGGGAAAAGTCAAACCCACATCACTGTTCTCCTTGGCAAACTTGAGGAGGCGGTTGGTGTCCATGGCCGTCTTGAGAAGGCCTTTTGAGACACTGCCAGAGTAAACTGAAGTGCTCGCTTGTAGATGTGGACTGCTTTGGACGGCAGGCCATTGGAGCGATCCAAGTAGTCCTCGAAGTTGAGTCACCTCCGATTGGGACATCTCATGTTCAGGGCCCAACCGAGGCAAGGTCATAGGTTTCACCTTGTGCAGGTACTCCTTGTGGTGGAGCTTGATCGTGCCATCAGGGCTTTTGGTCATAGTGGCACCGCAGTATTCCAAGGCATCACCATCTTTCCATTCTCTGAAGGAGAACGTGTTGCGCAGCTCTTCAATCACCTTGCAGTAGATCTTGGACGTTTCATCACCACATCTAAGCATGTCATCAACATGTAGGCAGATCATTCCAACCAAACCACTGTCCAGGAAGGGCTGTTTCGCCTCAGTGTCAGGGCCATAGAGCTCCTCAAAGTCCTGGGCATACACAAGGAAGCAGCACGGGTCCAGCAAATGCTGGCGAAGTCCAAGTGCTTTGAGTCTTCGACATGCTTCCACCATCGTCTGGGAGCATCCAACTGTCCATAGCAAGGTCTTCGAAGAAGCATCCTTGTTTCAGGTCCACATCCAAGTAGGGCCAGAGCATCAGCAGGAAGTCGAATCCAAATCTTCCGCTCTTGAGGTAGACCTTGAAGAAAGGCAGTTGAAATGTCCGAAGTCCAAAGCTTCCAACCCAAAGTTGAAGATAAAGAAATCAACATGTTCCTGGAAAGTCTTGTAGTGGTTGGACTGCTTGTTTCAAGCTGGCCATTCAGGGCATCAACATCAGCATAGCCCCTCACGATCAACCGTGCCTTAGCTCGAGGGGAACCATCTGCTCCAAGTCAAGAGCATACGAGCCGACAAAGTTCGACTGGGGTCGGCATTGGCATCGGTGTCGAAGATCCAGACATCGTTCTGGAAGAAGGGCTGAAGTTCCTTCGCTTTGGCAGCTTGAAACAAAGCTCGTTGATCCACATCCAGGCGTCTCTCATCGACAGTCTTGCTGTTGGTTTTCTTGGCCTTGGTCTTGAGGTCACGACCAATCTTCTTGGCATTCAGATTGGCATACATGCCAAGTTCACGCCTGGCTTGACCAGTGATCTGGTACACGGTGGCGCCAGTCCAGGAAGTGGTAGAGGTAGTCTGGCTGCCATCATCGTTGTGGACCTTCAGGCTTCCATCAGGAAAGCGCATCATAGTGATCCGAACTCAAGGAATTTGAGCTCGATGGGCACATCCTTGTAGTCGTGAATGTTCATGGTGTTGCGTCGGGGTGCAATGTGGTGTCTGATCAAACACCCAGCGCGCACTTCCCCAAAGTCATGCAACACATCCTTCAAAACGAAGGCACCATCAGAGTCCACATGCCATCCAGAAGGTAGATCATCACCTTGGATGTCCTCCACATTGAACACTTGAGAATAGCTCTCATGAGGTTCACCAGCAGAAGTAAGCCTCGGGTTTGGAGTAGAGGTGGAAGGCTCAGCTTCACCTGGATCAGCTCGATGTCGAGAGCGAGAACGATGAGTTCTTGATCTGGAGGGCAGCACCAAGGTTTCATGTCGTTCATGTTGTTGTCGTAGAAGTCGAAATCGGTCATTTGGGCCAGCTGGCTCATACATCGCCACAGTGGCAGGATCTAAAGGAGGCACTTGTGCCGGAGATCGCACTGAAGGTGGTCGTGATGGCTCCTCACTAGGTTCAGTTTCATCAGCAGTTGGAAGGTGAGGCCGTAGAGGCACCTGAACAGGAGGAGGCATCACTTCATCAGGATCATCTTCCACCAAGATTGGTGGTCCGCCAGGTTCTGCAGCACCTTGTAAATCCAGGTAAATCCAGGCCCTCCAAGTCCATGGCTGGTACTGTGTCATCCAAAGGCGCAGTTGGAGTTGGAGACACATCAAGGTCAGGCCGCTCCACAAAGTCCAGGTGTGGAGATAAGTCCAATCTCGGCCGTTGTCGAGGTGGTCCAGGAGCACCATCATCATCATCATCATCAAAGAGCTCCTCTTCATCGGACTGAACCTCTTCAATGTGCCTTTTGTTGGCACGCTGCAGATCCACAAAGCGGGTGGCCCCTCTGGATTTCAGCTCAGAGACCAGACCACCAATGTTGGTGTCAGAGGCCACTCGGTAGTCGGCACGAACATGTTGAGGTGCACACCGAAGCAGCTGGATCCAGTAGACGATCGGCTTTCCTGCGGCATCATCTTCACGAAGGATGGGCCGAGCAGGGCCTTTCCATCTGACCTTCACCAAGTCAGCTGCTCGAGCATCACGCCAGTACCAACAAATCTGGCCCGGCTGCAACAGCACGTGTGTGCCCGAGTACCGTCTGAGAAGTACTCGTCGAAGTCGTTGATCTTGGTCTGCTTTGATCAGAGCCACTTTGGCTGCTGAACGCTTCTCCAGGGTCTGCTTGAAGTTGGAACCATCCAAGTGAGATGGATTCAGGCCTTCGCTGGTCAAGTCGCCAGCAAAGTCAGGCTGATAGCCCAAGACCCATTGAGTGGGAGAGTATCCGGCCACTGTTGGAGAAGAGTTCACCTGAGGCAGCACATAGGCCAAGGCTTGTCGAAGTCCGTCAACATCCTTGAGACCACGATCATTCATGTAGATCTCCACAGCCTTGCGTAGAACTTGGTGACGTCGTTCTACAGCACCAAGTCGGGTGTGAGCTTCTCCAGGAGCCACAGCGTGGAGAATGTTGAGCTCAGCCAAGAAGTCGATCATGTCCTCATGGAGCCAGCCACGTCCTTCATCGGTGATGAGATCCTTCGGCATGCCAAAATGGCAGAACCATCCACGTTCCAGTGCCTTCTGGTAGTTGGAAGCTTTCTCGGCCTTCACAACAGCTGCAGCTTGGTACTTGGTCGCAAGGTCAATGAAGTGGACGACAGGGATCTTGTCCTTGCCCAGCTTGATCCACATCACATCGGCCTGCAGCTTCTCATTGAAGTGTGAGGCTTGGGGAAGAGCAGCAGGAGCTGCAGTGTTGGGCTTCCGATAACTGCCTGCAATGAAATTCTCTGGCTACCTTGAGGACCTCGTCAGAAGCACCACGAGATTCCAAAAGCTCGATCAGGGCCTGTTTGGGAGGATGGCCCAAGTTCCTATGCAGTCGTTGAACTGTTCGAACTGCGTCTTGCCTGTTGCCGCTGAGCAGCTTGATCAAAACTCCAGTCTGCTCGCGCTCTTCAGAGACCGCACCAGCAAAGTCATTCAGTTGGGGAACTTCAGGCACCATCAAAGCCGCTGCCAAGATCGAGGCCATCGACGGCTGATAGCTCTCCATGTACCGAGTTCGAAGTCCAAGACCCGGTGCATGGCCTTCAAGTGCACAGTGTTGATGATCCCCTTGACATCGAAGTTGAAACTCTTTGTAAACACTCATCTTGGTGGTCAACAGGCTGGTGGTCTTTCGAACAGGTTTCCAAAGTCCATCCCTGTCCAAACATTCACATCATTTCACATCCATATCGACACTGATCAAAGGTGCATCGAAGACCAGGAAGCTTGCTCAAAGAAGTGGTCTTCCATGAAAGGGCCGGTGCAGGTTGTTCCACATGTGCGTGGCCACCTTGAAGAACTTGGGTCTCATAGACCTTTCTCACAAACTTCAGATGCACGGCATGAGGCCATTCTCGAAGTTCTTGCAAGGATTCCTGCTGCTCCAAGGTCTTGGCGTTGAGGTTCTGCATGGGGCTCCAAGGACCACAGGATGGTGCCAACAGCACCTCATCTGGTACTTCTTCTTGAAGTCGTTGTAGGAAGCACTGGCGGTGCTCGGCAAGGTCAAAGTCCCATCCAGTGGAGTATCCAAAGATCTCAACTTGGGCACCCAGGCTCTCCGCGATCTTGGAGACACGGCCTTCACTCGTATAGACCTCCCAGATCAATCGAGGCTTCGGCTCAGCATGAAGTTCTGAGGTCACATAGCCGTGGAGCTCGTTGTGGGCCTCGCAGATGATCTGATCGCAGGTTCGAAGTAGATGACGTGGAACAGGTAGTTCACCATCGGCATAGGTCTCGGCCGTGATGTCGTCATCCACAGAGATGAAGGCAGATTCCTGCTTGCAGAAGTCCTCATAGCCCACAGGTCGTGGATCCAGGTCGCCATCAGGAGCCAGTCGCAAGTCGAACTGGAGAGGCAAAGGCTTCGACCAGTCCACAGGTTCAGCAGGATCCCAAAGTCCAAGAAGATATTCTCCATGTAGGCCAATTGTGGCTGGCCGCCAGGGTCCATCACGAAGCTTCAGCTGCTTCTTCGCAAAGTCCATAGTGATCCCCAGCGCCTCAATGATGGGGCGTCCACAAAGCAAGGGCGTCTCGCCAGCCAGCAAGAAGACTTGTGCTCGGCCATGGTTGCCACTGATGCACATAGGAAGTTCCACAGCCCAATGGCTCCAAGATTCACCATCACCTCCAAAATGAAACTTGTGCCTGCAGCGGAAAAACTTCACATCATCAACTGGGTAACCTTGTTGTCGAAGAAAATCCAAATATCGACGAACAGGTCCATAGCCGCTGAGGTATGCTGAAGCTCCAGGATCCAGCATGGTGACGTCAGGCCGTTCAGCGCCAGTCTGGTCCTGGAAGGTGACATGGGCGTTCTCCAGCATCGCCACGCTCTCAGTTGCAGCTCGCTTGGTGCCCTTCGGACTCGAACTGCCTTGAGATTTGCTCGGCATGGGGCAGTTCACTGCAAAGTGTCCAGGTTGGCCACAACGAAGACAAGTGAGTGCAGCTTTAGAGCGTCCTCGAGGATCAGCAGGCTTCATGGGGCTCTTGGTGTAGTGGTAAGTTCCCGACTTACCTTTGGCAGGTTTGCCCTTCGATTTGCCCTTCTTTCCTTTGGAGGACGGACTGCCAGCAGGTGAAGTCACACCAGGGGCCAAGTTGCCAGCCGCAGGGTCATTCAAGGCGACCACAGGAAGGAACCCTCGAGCCAGCTTCAAGTCAGAGAAGCGACGTCGAGCATCCACATAGGCTGCATAGACCTCGTCATAGGTGTCCACGTCCTGCAAGACAGTCTCAGATGGATCTCCAGAAGTCTCCTCGTACTGGTAGTAGGCAGCCTGAGCATCAAACTCATCAGCATCTTCCCATTCATCATCATCGCCACCATAGTACGAAGGTGATCCATCATCGCCCTCATAGTATCCCCATTCATCAGTCCAGTCATCACCATAGTTGTTGTAGGTCTCTTCAGAGTCCGCCGCATCCACAGCCACATAGCCACGTCCGCGACCACCTTTTCCAAAGCCACGTCGGTCATGGAAACCTTGAGTCGTATGCTTGTAGTCTTGCCCAAGCACAAGATACAAAGCCTCAGTGACCTTGGAAATCTCGAGCTGAGGCGCTCTCAAGGTGATCAACTGCTTCTGCTCCTTGGTGAGGTTGCAGCGTCGTAGAAGGTGCCAGGCCTGCACGGCATTGGGCAAGTCCACGCCGTGCTTCGACAAGCGTGCTGCTTCAGGTGCTCGTTGTGGAGCGTCACAAACTCCATCAAAGACTGCCCAGACCTCCTTGAAAGCCCAAAGTAGGCATCGAAGTCTGCCGGCAGCTGCACCCGGCTGTCGTACTCGAAGTGCTGGTCCAGGATTTTCAGGATGCCTTCAAAAGCTCCTTCCTTCTCAGCTGTCGTCACGTCGAAGTCTTCCATCAAGCGCCGCCACGCAGCGCCAGTCAAAGTGCTCACCAAGTTGATGACTGCCTCACCACGGCGGTTTCCCAGAGACATCTTTGCATGGTACAATTGAATCCTCTTCCTCCATTCTCGATAGTCAGCCGGCTGTCCCGTGAACACAGGGATGTAGGAGTCGCGCTGTGTAGGGCTCTCCGGTGATGTAGCGGCAGTTGACATTCCTTCGGAAGTCCTTACCTTCGAATTCAGTGATCCAAATCAGGTGCTGGAAGATCTAAGGGCCGTTGGTATTCTGTAAGAGGTCCAGCACTTGGATCAGCGCAGCAAGGCCAGCGGAACGGCTGGCTCCGCTACCAATGCAAAAGCCAGGGATGTGCAAACCCAGCTCCAAGCCCAGCCGCACGAGGTGCTAGGCTGCCACAGCAAAGAGCGCCTTTTCAGGCTCGCATAGCCATGTAGGCATCTAAGTCCCACCCTGGGCCGATAGCGGCGGTGGTCGGCAAATGAAAAAGGTGAAAAGAGGTTCTTAGGGCTAGGTGCATGGCATGCAACTTCACAGGGTATAAATATGATTCAATGGGTGTAGATGAAGTGTAAGCAGCAAACATGGGGAATAATTTAGATAACGTTCAAAGAAATCACCTGCAATTACTTTAGTTACTTCTCACCGACTCTTTGATTTTTCTTCATCCCCCATGTTTGCCTGTGAGACCTTCATCCATTTTGCTTGTCAGTTGTCACATGTTGTCATTCTCATGATGTCAACCCAGCGTTTGAACTCAATGCATTTCATCCGTTCGGAAAATCTCATTTTTGGCAAAGCTATAGAAAATGGTCCATTTATAGATGGTGTACATTGGTTTACGTATTATAACTGGTGATTTTCCACAGTTATCTTAGTTTACTGGAGGTTTCCTGTGCTTCACCCACCGTAGATCCCCAAAAGGCACCTTAAAGGGTGGCTCCAAGTCCTCCCGATCGGTGGCGTAGACCAGCTCTGTGCCCACGTGTGCGTGACCATCCACCTAGGCTCATTGTTTATTTGCAACCACCAAAACTTTTATAGTATGGGTCACAGCCGAAATGACTTAGAAATTGCTTAGGAATAACTATGACTGAAACTGCCAACCACGAATATAAAAGGATGTAAATGGATATAATGATGGGCAAAGTGAGACAAATCGGATTTTGATGGCCAAAGACGCTGGTCGATTTCCTGTCTGGTTGACTTGGGGCGTATATCAATCCAATGTGACAACCTTCAGAGATGTGATGGGTCACAAGGTGATGACTGTAGGGTGATCCAAACTTTCCGAAATGGGTGTGAGAGTTAGGCTGTGGGTCAAAGCTGGATGTGGCTTATGTGGTCCCAATAGGAAACCATACCCAGTGTGCCCAAATTTTACCATTTGAATTGAAGAATATGAGAATAAAACATACAGTAGCAACCAAAAAGTTGCGTCTATGCCTATTTTTGGTCTTACTATGTCTATGATTTTTGAAAGACTTTTCTGCAATTGCTATAAAAGAAAGGTCCCCTTGGAGGATCCGGAACTGCGACGCGAGATGCAGGTTGCACCACATGGACAAAAGTGCGAAAGAGGTAGGGGTCGTCACTGACGCATCCCAGCAATGCCTCTCACATATCCAATCATCATCAAGCATCCAAGTTTGAGGGAAATCATTGGCCATCAGGGTTGGACCTCCCCCTGGATGATCTAGGTCGGCAAAGAGGCTGTTGCAACCTTGTCAACAACTATGGATATATATATATATACAGTAGGTAGATAGATAGATAGATAGATATATACAGTAGATAGATAGATAGATAGATAGATAGATATATATATTATATGGCCAAATGGACGTTCAATCATGTCAACCCTGGTCGCTAAGTCACTAATCTCAGGGTTTTCGAATTCCACATGTAAACTCAACTATATATAATTATATATATATACACTAAAATAATAAGGATGATCACAGCACGTTGGAGTCCACAGGCTGCGGGGATATTCCTTCAACAGAGTGGATGTGTGGTGTCCGCATCCTCAAATCCCTCTCCTGCTATACTTCATATGTAATATAAATCTAAATATATACATCATATACATGCATAACAACAATTCTCCCTATTAGCTAACAATCGTATCTCTATATGTACTTGTATAATCTTGTATATGGGTATATGATAGTCGTATAGTTATATACATGATAAACACCTACATCATTATATATATATATTTACATGATATATCATGGAGGTTTCCTAAGTCATGGGGATACCCCAAATATTCGTAAAATTTAAACATTGTTTTCAATGAAATAAACATTGATAAACCATCCAGCTGGTGGGTACCCCCAAGAATCCCTCGCCTCGCCAGTGGCTGTGATCCCAGGTCCAGTGGCACCGATCAAGATACACATCGCAACGTCACGGATGTCACGGCAAGGGACGATGCACCAAGGCACTAAGGCGGCGCTTGGGCCGAAAAAAACATGGAGAAGCCACTTTGATACTTTGACCACCCTTTTTTGGGGGATTTGTTGGGTCATGCAGCAGTCTTGCTGGTCAACTTCTTTTGCGCATGCCTTGAGACGAGCATGCCTCCGCATTCCACACCTATGATTCGCGTCTTTGGGTGAATCTGCTAGACACTTTCCAGTGGAAGACCCATTGAGCTGTCATCATTGCTGGCGAAAAGGTGCGAATCCCCCCACTAAAGGGAATCTTTGATATTAGGGGGATGGATTGATACTGGTTCTTGTCATTGTGTATATAAGTCATCCCAGATACTGGCCACTGACATCTTGGAACAAAGGCATCAGTCCTGCAACAATCAATAAACTCCACAAGGTCCATCTGCGGCGGTGAAGGGGCTTGGTCTCAAGCCATGAGAGATAGTAAGCAACAAACAACCCCACAAAAATGGTGCGTCAACTATCTAAAATGGATGTTCAACCAACAAAAATTGGAGTCTAACCAACAGGAATTGGGGACCAACAAACATAGGTGTTGACCAACCATAGTTTGCCTCAAAAGGGGAGTGCCCTCCCATTTAACCCACCCCCAAACAAAAGGGCAATTTCGAAGTGGACACTTATTATAAACCAATATTCTATTTTGTGGAATTTGGGGGTTCAAAATTTTGACCCCCCTAAAAAAAACGTGGCTGGAAGGCAAACATTGCCTGAAGTGGCCACTTCCATGACATGCATCTTGAATTGTCCGAAACACCAGTATTGCGTGGAGTTACCAATATCTGAGCATGTGACATGCATGGAACGTCGCAAACTTAGGGCCTCCGGAAATGTTGAACTCCTGGTTGGTAGTCAATTGAAGATTATTTGAAGATCAAAATAGAACAAAATCAGTTTCCTTCCTGGCGAATTCTAACAAACGGACTGACCGCCTTTTCCTTGCCATTGGAATCATTCCGACAAAGAACTGTGACCAAAACATGAAGCTATACAATCAGACTTGAAACACAGCGCTGCTTCTCTGTACATGGCCGTAGGCCGACAGGTCTTTGGGAGAAATGCAGGAAATTCCGTTCAAACGCATGGAATCTACAGAATTATGAAGATGAATCTCAGAGTAGTCCTTTGCCCAAACACGACAGAAAGTCAAATCATATATTTCATCCCAAATCTGAAGTGTTGACCCAAAGTCGACAGAATCCTATAGAGAGGTCGGCGAATCTTCGAGCCTCTCTGCGTTTAGCATCGTTTATCTACGGAAAAGCTTTGCCTCCGGAGTAATTTCACCATCCACCGTGGTACATGCGATGTGGCTCGGGGGCAGTTGTCCATCACAGGGCGACACAAAGGTGCAGAAGTGGCTCCAGGAATGACTCTGGAAAAGCCTCAGGTAAACTGTGAAGGCTTCAGGGCAACTTTTGACCCCAAATGTTCATGTGAATATCTTCATACAGAACGCCCATATTTTGAAACCATCTTGAAGGTGCATATTGAGTCATATAGGCCTAGTTTCATCCAACTTCTGTTGGCTCAACCATCCCGTTTCATTCACCTCCCAGAAGTTGTTTCTTTCAAGTTGCTGATCTCCGAACTCGGCTTTCTCACCGCAGGCCCAGCCATAGTTGTAGTGTAAGGCACCTAGGTGGTTTGTTACAGCCTGGTAGGGCCGTGTTTCCTGGATGTAAGCACTGGATCTTTTTGTCTATATTTATGTGCTTCATGTGTACTGCATTGTAATGCAATATATATATATAATCGAAGGAAGTTTAGAAGGTTTAGAAGTCAAACTTCCGACAATATGGACAGATGAAAAGCAGAGCAGGGAAGAGGCAGAGAGAAGAGAAAGATTAGAAGAAAGAAGAGTAGAAGAGAAAGAGCAAGAAGAAAGAAGATGCAGACGCGCGAAAAAGTAGGAAAGTCGCGAAACACTGTGTTTTTCCAATGATTTGTGGCTCCGGAGGGTCGAAAAGTAGGCTCGCTAAAGCGGCGGGTGCGGAGCCAGCTGGCCAGAAAGAGATGAAAAATTGCACGCCGTTGTGGCGCGAAGCGCATTTCCAAGTCAAAATGTGCAAAACACACCACGTTCGGACCACTTTTGGCAGTTGAGATGTTGAAAAAGTGCACGCCGTTGTGGCGCGAAGCACATTCGAAGTCAAAATGTACAAAACACACCATTGTCGGACCACTTTTGGAAGTTGAGATGTCGAAAAAGTGCACGACGTTGTCGCGCGAAGCACATTTCCAAGACAAAATGTGCAAAACACACCATTGTCGGACCACTTTTGGAAGTTGAGATGTCTAAAAAGTGCACGCTGTCGTGGCGCGAAGCACATTTCCAAGACAAAATGTTAAAAACGCTAGGGGTTCGGACCACTTTTGGAAGTTGCGATGTCGAAAAAGTGCACGCCGTTGTGGCGCGTTTGGAAGTCAACATCTTAAAAACACTAGGGGTTCGGACCACTTTTGGAGGTTCACCTGTCGAAAAAGTGCACGCCGTTGTGGCGCGAAGCACATTTTGAAGTCAACATGTTACAAGCACCAGGGGTTCGGACCACTTTTGGAGGTTCAGATGTCGAAAAAGTGCATGCCGGTGTGGCGCGAAGCAACCTCTCCTATAGGTTTCCTATTGTTGAAACTTCCGCCACGGCCTTGTGCGGTACTACTGGTATATTATGTACGAAAATATACCAAATTGTATTTCTATACAAACAAATCAATTATACTTACACCATGTGGATACTGGATGGGCAAGAATTTGGTAGATCATGGTGGAACCATGTGAAACCATTAAAACAAAGAGTGGCCACCCATCCTTAAGGCCCACCATGGAATATCCAGCTAGTAACTGGGCGCTAGAATTGTCCTGCATAGTTTAAGCTACCGGCGCTGTGAAAACGGACCCGCAGGTTTTGCTGCTTTTTACTGCCGCATTGCACGAGTTAGAAGTTGTGTGTGTCAGTTAGAAGTTGTGCGCGAATGAACATGTGATTATCATGTGATTATCATGGGGAACTGGGTGTGGTGGGGGGTGGGGGGTGCCAGGGTCATGCACGTTGATGCTACGCTGATAACATCTGTAAAGCATGAGTTTCCAAATTTCAAAATGCTTGGTTTTGTAGTGATGCCTTGGGGAAAGTGCAGGTACTTGACGTATGTCATGATCCGTTAACTTCGAAGTGGAAGAAGCTTCATGTTGACTGATTTTTGTCAACACCATAGGCTCAAAGCAGAGGTATAGATGAATTTCGGGACCATGATTTGTCAGATATGACTTTCCCAACTCAAAGACATGTTTTGAAGCCTTGATTTTCCTTATCCGAATTTGAACTGAAATGAACTGAATCTTGTATGAGGTGGAAAAATCGAATCAGTGCAACACGTTCCCTTTTCTCTGTCCAAAAACAAAAGAAACAAGAGATATTCCCAAAGAATTGAAACAGATGTATGGTATGTAACATATATGGAACATTTGTAACATATGTATGGTCTTTTGATGTCTTTTGCCTATTGGAACAGCAAGCAAGACTTGAAACGAAGTCTGGCCAAATTGGCGCCAAGGCAAACCGACGCAAACGATGAGGCTAGAAAAAGAGGCCGCGAAAAGCACTGGGAAACATTTCCGAAATCCAAATTTGGTAAATATTTTGACACCTGTAATTCAAGATGATGAATGACAAATTTCCTGTCGCAACGTGGGACATTTGGAAACAAAGGAAATCTCTACGCCATCACAGTTTTACACAAGTCCATCCAAAATGGCATAAATGAAAAACGCAAAAAAACTGCCGGGCTGCTACTGGCGCCGGAACTGAGTTTAAACATGGTTAAACTATTTTAAACCAGGCTTTGGGAAATGTAGTCGCATCCATTTGGGACCGCAATATGCATCAAAAGTCTGGATGACTTCAGACGAAAATCGAAGGGAAGGCTGAAAGACTTCTGCACTAACCTCGGAGAGGCATGAATCTGACTATTCTATGACATGCTACGCTGATTGCTTTGTGTCAACATTGTCAGCAAGTGCAGGTCAATCAGAACCAACATTGCAGTATCGTCCCAGGTGGGATAGGCAATAAAATAGACACATCTCAAACCTGTCGAAACTACCCAGCAATAAGTGAACACAAGTAAACTGTATAGAACTATGACTATCTATGACTATCTGTCCAAAGAAACATGTATAATATTTGTATAATCATGTATATAAAGAAACAATGTAGTCAACCCCACAATGCTGTTGATTTCGGCACCGGTGCAGAGTCCTGGAAGCCAGGCAGCCGTGCCCCAAGGTGCAGCAGTGGCATCGTACGTGTGGTTTCTCCGAGTGCCATGGTTGCAAATACTGTATCCTCAGCTGGTGGCTTCAGTTACACACCCCGTGGTGCCTCAGATACCTATACCATCCTATACCTATAAAGCTATGATATGCTATGATCTCTCATAAAACCTAGTGCTTTTACTTCTTGGCTCCTACCACTGCAGTTTTTTTTTATTGGTTGTTTATCATATTTTGGTCCTGAAAACACTACGAGACATCACGAGACTCATGGGCGATGATACCAAGGCACCCCACCACTTCAAGAGAGGGTTCTCTTCGGGATTCCTCTCCCTGTTCCCGTGATCCGACAGAATCGCTCGGAATGTGGCCACGTCCTCAGAATCGCCGGCTTTCCAAACGCACGGAGTTCTAACATGTTGAAACTATCCCCCGTACTTTTTGAACTCCAGCTGGAAAATGTGTCAACTCCAACTCTAAACTGATTCAGCTCCCAAATTTCCCAACCAATTTAGTGCATGTTCTTTGTGAAAAAAATGGCAAGACCTGCAACCCGTTAGGGAAACCCAGTCTACTACTGCGGGCCATGGTATCATATGGTATCCATTTTGTTTGTGAAATGTCTTCCCATTCCTGCGATCTCCTCTTTCCTTTTGGTGGTTGTGTCACCAATTCTAGTTAGTTTCAAGTTGAGGCCCTAAGCTTAACTTCACATAAATCACATTCTCGATGGCGATATCTCTATGCTCCACCTAAACCAAACTTTACATCCCCAAACGGATGCTTCAAAATCCGTGATCTCCGTCTGAAAAAACACAATTGACCCATACCCCAAACGACCCCGTAGAGTTCTCCAAGTTCTCCAAGAGTCCAATTTGCCTCGCAACTCGGCTGCCAACTGCCGGCCTCGCGCCAAACGACACCCATTGTTGTTCTCCTGCGCCTGGAGAGACAGAGTTACAGCCAGGGAAGCACAGGAGAATCCGAAAAACTTTCGGAGATGATGTTGGCGAAATTGACCAAGAACGGACTGTATCTGACATCAGGTAAGAACAGATTGTATATGTTTGGTTATGATTGTATGACACTTTTCATGACTTCCGCAGATCAACGGAACTATTGCCAGAAATCAATTGCAGGAACACACACACAAGAAAACCCAGGGGGACATCACCAACAATCTATCACAAACTCAGGGAATCTCATGGCTAATACCACCAATGCCAATGCAAAAAACGTGATGCGCGCTTGGCACCTGAAGCTCTGCTGCTGGGTCATTGAAGTGCTTGAGCTCTTGGGATTGGTAGCAGTTCACTGCAAAAGCCAAACCTCCAAAGATTAGCAGTGACAACTCTCGAAACCTTACAAATACTGGTTGATTTGATATATATATATACATATTATAAATATATATGTAATATCATATTTACATCTATACGTACATACAAGATCCTCCAAGTATCTGATACAATTATGGTTGCTCCTTGACTGGCTTGGGTTTAGTCCTTTGTTTTAAATGAGCATATCCAAGGAACAGGGTACCAATCGCCTTATTAAAATTTGTCAAAAGGAGAGCTGGAAGCCAGCGGAATTCAAGTGCCCATCTTGAAGAACCACTGCTTTGCACGCCTGCAGTCAGGGATACTAAGACTACCAAACAACCATGATACATATATATATATATGTATATATATATATACACAAGTTATAGCAATATGGACACATGGAGCTTCAACGATGAAGTTACTTTAAACCAGCAACCTTCACTTACCCTCCACTAATCAAACACGACTAGCTGGGAAATCCCCGAACTAAATGGAGTTTGCTGGGAAAACCATTGATCTAACTGAGGATTTTTCCATTGAACAAGCCATGTTGACACCTCAGGGTACCATCCCATTACGTATGTCATTGTTTTTTTGACATTATACCCATAGTTTATACCTATTAATTACATAGTCTATACCTATTACATAGTCTATATATGTCTATATTCATTATATCCCTATTTAAACCACCCGGTGATTTGTCTCGCCACCGCGACCGCGCCTGGTTTCTCTTTGGAAAAGCGCTGATGGACGGCTGTACCAAAGCGACCCACCTCTACATGCGCGAGATTCCCAAAGGCATCTGCCAGGAGCACCTTGGCGAATCACTGCGTTTGAATGGGGATATCATCGGTATATAGCTGATTTACCCAGAGACCCATGAACAATGGTGATTTTCCATAGTTAGGTTAGTTTGCCAGAGGGTATGATATTACAATGGGCATATAAAATTCTGACAATCGCTTTATCAAAGTATTTCTCTCTGATTCTCAAATTTCTAGTGTCCAACTGGGGTTGAACATGTTTGAAATGTGTGTGCACACTTGCAGGGTTGTGCCCAGCCCTAACACACTGTGTGCGCGACATGCACATGTGTCAGGTGGGATCATTTCAAGACAAAAGAGTCAGACGCGCAGTCTTAGAGCGGAAGGCGTTCAAAGTTATATAACATCCCTGAATCCCTGGCAATCAACTACATGTTATGTCTTATGACGTGTTATTGGCCAGCTAGTTGTAAGTGTTCCTGACAATTGGTGTGGCCTACACATTTGGGAAAATCCCGTGGCGTGTTGCTTCCTAGGTACCGAAAATGCAGGAGCCACGGACGGAGTAGCCTCGAGCAACTGCAATGCATCCTCCACGCTGCTGCAATCGTTCATCATCCTTTCCTGAGCTAGGGCAGTCATGGCAGCTGCTGGGTATCACCTGAAACATCATATGTATATATATATGCACATGTGTATATACGTATATTTAGTTGTCTGTGTGTGTGTGTAATTAATGCGATGTAATGAAATGTAATGAAATTTAATGAAATGTAAAAACATGTAATGACATGTAAATGAAATGTAATGAAATGTACTGCATTATCATGCAACGCAATGTAACGTACTTTAATGTATGTAATGTAAGCAATGCAATACAATGTATTGTAATGTATTGTAAGATATTGCAATGTATTGTAATGCGCTGTAATGATTGCAATGTATTGTATTGTATTGTACTGTACTGTACTGTATTGTCATGTCATGCCATGCCATGTCATGTCATGAAATGTCATGTACGTAGGTAGGTAATCAGGTATGCATGCATATATGCATATACGTATATAGAATTATACTTATGATTATAGTTATAGTTATAATTAAATATATATAATTATATATAAATGGGATTTAAAGGGGTACGGTATGTTGCATCACCAAAGAACGTGAAGTAACCAATGTTGCGCGACTCTTTAACATCTTTAACATGTACCCTCTCCAGGGAACATATTAGCCATGTGGGATACTTTGTTTGCCAACTGCAGAAACAGGTGGATGCCCAACTCCGTACGGAAATGATTTATACCTTTGCAAGCGTACTATGCCTTACACGTCTCCTACATAATTTTTCGGAAAATCAAGTACCTCTTGAAGGGGAGTCATACCTGCTGATCATTGCAAACCGCAATCATTTTTTGAATCAGGAACCCGCAAAAATCTTCGACATTGAATCGTATATAGGTTTGTTTTGAGACCCATAGGGGTCAAGGTATGGTGAATGATCCACAACAACACTCTTTGGGATTAGCCACCAACTACCGGAGGTTCTTGCTGCAAGTGTGTTTCTTGAAATGAGGAGAAATGTGGGACATCAATGTGTCCAAAAATGTGCTGCTCCAAACTATCATCATCCTCACGGATTTTCACCCATTTTCCACTTTTAAAATGGCAAGGTATCCATGGTCTTCCCCCATTTTTCACGCCAACTACACCGTAAAGCTTCACTGAGATTGCAGAATGGCACGCTCTCCACTTCCATGTTTCCAGAGGATTGCTCCACCGCCAGCGCAACGACCTCAAGACGCTGGGACCATGTCTTTATCTTGACCTGAACGCAAGCGATATTAGACCATGTGTTGTATATTGATGGTGCTATGTGTAAATATATATATATATATTATGTATATACCAGTAGTACCGCACAAGGCGGCAGGGTTTCAAGGATAGGACACTATAGTAGTGAGTTGTTGTGATGCATGGATGACAGAGCGAATCCACTGATGGACCGCAATGTTTTTGGAGTTGTTTTTGTTTTTGGAGTGCTTGCGATGGTTGCAGTGGTCACCTCACCCACAACTCCTGGATCTAGTGTGGTGTAGTGCAGTTGTAGTTGTAGTGTAGTGTAGCGTAGTGGAGTTGTAGCTGTACTGTAGTGTATTTAGTGAAGTGTAGTTGCAGTTGCAGTTGCAGTTGTAGTTGTGCTGTGTGGTGTAATTAGTGTAGTGTAATGTAGTGTAGTGTAGCGTGCTGTAGTTGTAGTTGTAGTGTAGTGTGGTCTAGTGTAGTCTAGTGTGACGTAGTGTAGTTGTAATTGTAGCTGTAGTTGTAGTTGTAGTGTAGTGTAACGTAATTAGTGTAGTGTAGTGTAGTGTAGTGCAATGTAGTGGTAGTTGTAGTTGTAGTTGTAGTGTAATGTAATGTAATGTAAAGTAATGTAATGTAATGTACTGTAATGTAACGTAATGTAATGTAATTAGTGTAGTGTAGTGCTGTGTAATGTATTGTAGTTGTTGTTGTATCTGTATTTGTAGTTGTAGTGGGCTGCAGTGTAGTTAGTGTAGTGTAATGTAGTGTGGTTGTAATTGTAGTTGTAGCTGTGGTAGTAGTAATTGTAGTTGTAGGTGTAGTGTAATTAGTGTAGTGTAGTGTAATTAGATGTAATTAGCGTAGTGTAGTGTAATTAGTGTAGTGTAATGTAGCGTAGTATATTTGCATTTTTAGTTGTAGTCGTAGTGTAGTGTAGTGGTAGTTGTAGTTGCAGTTGTACTTGTAGTTGTCTATTTATCTATCTATCTATCTGCAAGCTTGAAAACGAAGCTTTTCTGCGAGACATCCTCAGCTTTTGAACTTGGCAACATCAAAAAACGCAGCAATTCTGCGAGACTTCCTCAACTTTTGAACTTGACAACGTCAAAAACGAAACAAGTCTGCGAGACCTCCTCATCTTTTGAAGTTGACAACATCAAAAACGAAGCAATTCTTTGAGACTTCCTGCAAAAATAGAAAGTTGAGTGCAGAGCTGACGGCCTCGTACCAATGCGTTTTGCGATTGTTCCACTCCACCTGTCTGAAGTACTGCGCCTGCCACGAAAAAGTGATGCCTGAAGATCTGATGCTCCAAAATGCAACCCCTCTCAGGAAATCAGCGCCCGGACCTCCTAACAGCTCTGATGAACATGTCTCTTGTACTGCGCTTGCCCGGAAAATGCATCTTTGCAGATCCTCTTCAAATGTCCCATGCCTGCCATCGTTTTTGGAAATGCTACAAAACCCTCACGTTTTGCTCACTTTTGACTCTTGACAAGGTGCGCAATCCCTTGCGCCTGCCACGCAAAACGACATTTGAACGTCCAAAAGTGGTCCAGGCATGGCGTTTTTTGTACATTTTGACTTCGAAATGTGCTTCGCGCCACAACGGCGTGCAATTTTTCATCTCTCATCTGGCCAGATGGCTCCGCACGCGCCGCTTTAGCGAACCTACTTTTTGACCCTCCGGAGCCACACACCATTGGAAAAACACAGTGAATCGCGACTTTTCTCCTTTTCGCGCACCTGCATCTTCTTTCCTCTGACTCTTTCTCTTCTCTGATCTTCCTTCTTCTTCTCTTCTCTGACTCTTCCCACCTCTGTCCATATTGTCGGAAGTTTGACTTCTATACTTCCTTCGATTATATTTCACATATATATATATATATATGTATGTAAGAATGCATGTATGAGTGTATGGGTATATATATATATATACACGTATGTTGTGCTCATATCCATGTCTACGTATGCACATACTTATTGAAGCTCTATTTAAATAATAAATAAATATATATACTTTATATTATATATATGTGCTTACAAATATTTTGTATTTTACGGGTTTTTTGCGGCATATAGAAATATAGTACACATACATACGTGCATATATGGAGGTTTCCTAAAATGGGGATACCCCAAAATCATCCATTTATAGATCATAGTTTCCATGAAATAAACCATCCAGCTCTTGGGTGCCATATGAGGAAACCTCCGTATGTTGACATGCATATATCTTATATAGATCCTGAGCCACCAAGGAACGAAGGCTAAGCCCTGTGAATTGATCCCACGCGTTGCTTCCTGTGGCTCCACCTCAGCGGTTGATCCGAAGGGAACGGGAACTCATCCAGTGAATATCATGCGACCAATAGCGACCAATGGTGGTTAATCATGGTTAATTTTACTGGAATATCACTGGATGATAACTTAATGGATTTTGAACCAATACTGGAATATCATACCAGTATTAATATTGGATCTAATACTGGTTAATCATGGTTAACAGTGGTCAGCAAAAGTTCATAATGGTTTGTTTCATGTCTAGTAAAGGTTAGTAGTGGTAATTCATGGGATATAAATAGGGACTACAATTGGAATATCATAATGGGATCGTCATGGGGATATATATGTCTTATAGTACAACATTACAATCCCATTGCAACGGGTATATATATATATGTATATATTATATAGCTGCCAAAATTCATGATATAGTATATATAGGTAATTTACGGTTGAGCATTGTAATGGGAATGCAATGGTATACTATATTATGTGGTTTGCGTAAGCAGCAAAATGATCTGCGGGTGTGGCTGGAAATGGGGTGGTATCAATTTGCAAAGGGAATATATCATTGCATATCATTGCCAATTTTGTACACCCTGCAACAAGTTAACTGTTTAGTTGGTTGGTATACATCGCCACTTCTTGGCACAAGATTACAACACAAGTCCTATTCGTTCAACTCAACCAAGGGCTGTAAATCGGGTATAAATATGATTCAATGGGTGTAGATGAAGTGTAAGCAGCAAACACGGGGGATAATTTAGATAACGTTCAAAGAAATCACCTGCAATCACTTTAGTTACTTCTCACCGTCTCTTTGATTTTTCTTCATCCCCCATGTGTGTCTGTCAGACCCTCATCTTGCTTGTCAGCTGTAATATGTTGCCATTCTCATGATGTCAACCCAGCGTTTGAACTCAATCCATTTCATCCGTTCCGAAGATCTCATTTTTGGCAAAGCTATAGAAAATGGTACAATTTTTAGGTAGTTTACGTATTATAACTGGTGATTTTCCACAGTTATCTTAGTTTACTGGGGGTTTCCTGTGCTTCACCCACCGTAGATCCCCATAAGGCACCTTAAAGGGTGGCTCCAAGTCCTCCCGATCGGTGGCGTAGACCAGCTCTGTGCCCACGTGTGCGTGACCATCCACCTAGGCTCATTGTTTATTTGCAACCACCAAAACTTTTATACTATGGGTCACAGCCGAAATGACTTGGAAATTGCTTAGAAATAACTATGACTGAAACTACCAACCACGAATATAAATGGATGCAAATGGATATAGTGATGGGCAAAGTAAGCGAGACAAATCGGATTTTGATGGCCAAAGACGCTGGTCGATTTCCTGTCTGGTCGACTCGGGGCCTATATCAATCCAATGTGACACCCTTCAGACATGTGATGGGTCACAAGGTGATGACTGTAGGGTGATCCAAACTTTCCAAAATGGCTGTGAGAGTTAGGCCGTGGGTCAAAGCGGGATGTGGCTTATGTGGTAAGCCCAAAAGGAAACCATACCTAGTGTGCCCAAATTTACCATTTGAATTGAAGAATATGAGTATAAAAACACACAGTAGCCACCAAAAAGTTGTGTCTATGTCCAAAAAGTTGTGTCTATGTCTATTTTTGGTCTTATTATGTCTATGATTTTTGAAAAACTTTTCTGCAATTGCTATAAAAGAAAGGTCCCCCCTGGAGGATCCGGAACTGCGACGCGAGATGCAGGTTGCACCACATGGACAAAAGTGCGAAAGAGGTAGGGGTCGTCACTGACGCATCCCAGCAATGCCTCTCACATATCCAATCATCATCAAGCATCCAAGTTTGAGGGAAATCATTGGCCATAAGGGTTGGACCTCCCCCTGGATGATCTAGGTCGGCAAAGAGGGTATTGCAACCTCGTCAACAACTATGGATATATATATATATATACTGTATATATTATATATGTATTATATGGCCAAATGGACGTTCAATCATTTCAACCCTGGTCACTAATCTCAGGGTTTTCGAATCCCACATGTAAACTCAACTATATATATATATATATACATATTTAAATTTATATAAATATATAGGATAATCACAACACATTGGAGTCCACAGGCCGCGGGGATATTCCTTCAACAGAGTGGATGTGTGGTGTCAGCATCCCCAAATCCCTCTCCTGCTATACTTCATGTGTAATATAAATATAGATATATACATAATATACATGCATAACAACAATTCTCCCTATTTGCTAACACTCGTATCTCTATATGTGCTTGTATATGGGTATATGATAATTGCCGAAGGAAGTTCAGAAGCCAAACATCCGACAATATGGACAGATGAAAAGCAGAGAAGAGGCAGAGAGAAGAGAAAGATTAGAAGAAAGAAGAGTAGAAGAGAAAGAGTAAGAAGAAAGAAGATGCAGATGCGCGAAAAGGTAGGAAAGTCGCAAAACACTCTGTTTTTCCAATGATTTGTGGCTCCGGAGGGTCGAACAGTAGGTTCGCTAAAGCGGCGGGTGCGGAGCCAGCTGGCCAGATGAGAGATGAAAAATTGCACGCCGTTGTGGCGCGAAGCACATTTGCAACTGAAAAAGCTAAAAACACCTCACGTTCGGGCCACTTTTGGACGTTGAGATGTCGAACAAGTGCACGCCGTTGTGGCGCGAAGCACATTTCGAAGTCAAAATGTACAAAACATGTCAGCTTCGGAGCACTTTTAGAAGTTGCGATGTCGAAAAAGTGCACGCCGTTGTGGCGCGAAGCACATTTCGAAGTCAAAATGTTAAAAACACAAGATTCTCGGACCACTTTTTGACGTTCAGATGTCGTTTCGCGTGGCAGGCGCAAGGGATTGTGCACCTTGTCAAGAGTCAAAAGTGAGCAAAACGTGAGGGTTTTGTAGCATTTCCAAAAACGATGGCAGGCATGGGACATTTGAAGAGGATCTGCAAAGATGCATTTTCCGTGGCAAGCGCAGTACAAGAGACATGTTCATCAGAGCTGTTAGGAAGTCCGGGCGCTGATTTCCTGAGAGGGGTTGCATTTTGGAGCATCAGATCTTCAGGCATCACTTTTTCGTGGAGGCGCAGTACTTTAGACAGGTGGAGTGAAAAATCGCAAAACGCATTGGTACGAGGCCGTCAGCTCTGCACTCAACTTTCCATGTTTGAAAGAAGTCTCAAAGAATTGCTTCGTTTTTGATGTTGTCAACTTCAAAAAATGAGGTCTCGCAGACTTGTTTCGTTTTTGACGTTGTCAAGTGAGGAAGTCTCGCAGAATTGCTGCGTTTTTGACGTTGTCAAGTTCAAAAAATGAGGAAGTCTCGCAGACTTGCTGCGTTTTTGATGTTGTCAAGTTCAAAAACTGAAGAAGTCTCGCAGAATAGCTTTGTTTTCAAGCTTGCAGATAGACAGATAGATAGAGAGGCAACTACAACTGCATCTGCAACCACAAGTACCACTACACTACACTACTACTACAACTACAAGTACAAATATACTACGCTACATTACACAACACTAATTACACTACGCTACACTAATTACATCTAATTACGCTACACTACACAAATCACACTACAACTACTACAACTTACACTACAACTACTACAACAGCAACTATTTCAACAGCAACTACTACAACAGCAACTACTACAACAGCAACAGCAACAGCAGCAACAACAACAACTACTACTACAACTAGTGCTGCTACAACAACAACAACAACTACAACAACAACTACAACAACAACAACCACAACAACAACAACAACAACAACAACAACAACAACAACAACAACAACAACAACAACAACAACTACTACTACTACTACTACTACTACTACTACTACTACTACTACTACTACTACTCTACTACTACTACTACTACTCTACTACTCTCTACTACTCTCTACTACTCTCTACTACTCTCTACTACTCTCTACTACTCTCTACTACTCTCTACTACTCTCTACTACTCTCTACTACTCTCTACTACTCTCTACTACTCTCTACTACTACTACTACGACGACCAACACCACCACCACCACCACCACGACGACCACCGCTACAACTACTATTACAGCTACATTACATTACACTACAATACACTGATTGAACTGCAGCACATTACAGCTACAAATGCAACTACAACTACACTACATTACACAACACTACACTACACTAATTGCATTACATTACGCTACAACTGCAACTACCACTACATTGCACTACACGACACTTCACTACAACTACAACTACACTACTTCACACTACAACACACTAGACTGCACTACACTATACCACGCTACAGTACACAACACTACCGTACACTACAATACACTACACAAATTACACCACACCACACCTACAACTGCAACTGCAACTACACTACACTAATTACACTACTTTACAACTACAACTTAAAACTACAAATCCGCTACACTACAACTACAACTACACCTACAACTACAACTGCACTACACCACACTACATCCAGCAGTTGTGGTGAGGTGATCACTGCAACCATTGCAGCCACTCCAGAAAACACAACTCCAACCACCTTTCGGTCCATCAGCGGATTCGTTCTGCCATCCGTGATTCACAACAAACAACTTCTCCTATAGGTTTACTATTTTTGAAACTTCCGCCGCCGCCCTGTGCGGTACTACTGGTATAATTATACGGGCAAACACCTCGATTTGCCCGCGCTTGTCGGCGGCCATCTTCGTATGTGCTGAAAATGTGGTAAAAATGGGAGTTTTTTTGCATCATGGCTAACTTAATGTTGTATATCGGCACGCACAGCATAGGGACCTGTGCGAGTCTCTTACACATCATCATCATCATCATCATCATCATCATCAGACCCTTATTGAAGATCTTCAATGAATGTAGAAGCTTAACGGGGGTGGGAGAATTAAACCCTTATTGAAGATCTTCAATGAATGCAGAAGTTTAACGGGAGTGGGAGAATTAAACCCTTATTGAAGATCTTCAATGAATGTAGAAGTTTAATGGAGGTGGGAAATTTATATTCCCTAAATACCCTTGTTGATCTTCCCAATTGAATGTAAAGTCTAATGTTTGATATCCCCAAGTGTACAGCATAGAAGGGGTGTGGGCGAATCGGGGTGTTTGCGCGTAATTATACATACATGATAAACAATTACATGATTATATCTTATATATATATATACACATGACATATCATGGAGGTTTCCTAAGTCATGTGGCTACCCCTAATTTTCGTAAAATTTAAAAACTGTTTTTCCATGAAATAAACATTGACAAGCCATCCAGCTATTGGGTACCCCCAAGAAACCCTTGCCTCGCCAGTGGCTGTGATCCCAGGTCCAGTGGCACCGATCAAGAAACACATCGCAACGTCACGGATGTCACGGCAAGGGACCAGGGACGATGCACCAAGGCACTAAGGTGGCGCTTGGGCCGAAAAAACCATGGAGAAGCCACTTTGATACTTTGACCCCCTTTTTTTGGGGATTTGTTGGGTATATCTATCGAATTCTATCGATATTGAAAGCAACATCTGCGCCCAAGAAGCCACATGAACTGATTTGAAGTGCATCTTTAGGAGGCTGCCTCCGAAAAATTGTAGACACTATACCTGCTTTCAGGCTTTCAAGGTTCCTCTACTATTGATCAATGCAATTGCTGTGATCGCATCGCCAAATAGAATCCCAGGTGAAGGGGTCCAAGCTGAAGCCTGCAACTGATGTTGCAATTGAAAGGTTCCCCAAAGGCAGATGACTTTCTACTCCACATGGACCCTGAGCTTTGATGAGCTTTGCACCTTCGGCGTCGGAAAACATGGGACACATAGGGCCTCATCAAATCGGTTTTGTCGCTGTGTAAGGAAAAGGAGCAGGGCATAGCAGGGCTTAAGATCACTTGAGATCGGTTTTGGTAAGGACAAGCACAACTGACTCCACTTTAATTCCTACTTGGAGGATCATCACAATTAGTAAGTGGTTAACAACCATAACAACCATAGTTACCAGTAGTACTTGCTGGCTGTTAAGCAGGAACAGGGGAACCATGGAAAATGATGACGATCATGAACTTCCATTCATGGACTCATAGAATCCATGGTGATAACTTTAACAATTTAAAAACTGGGGTAGGCGCCACCAGGCTTAGTGGGCGCAACTCTGGTGCACATTGCAGATCATCAAAGGGATCAATTGAAACAATGGCAGTGTACATGAAAGGGTTGCATGGAAGGGTGGTATCAGATAAACCTTACTCGATGAAACAGTGCCTATAGATCTTAACAAAGTGCATTGCAAAAAATGAAAGTTTGCAAAGGAAGCCATGAAAACAACATCGATAGATATGGAAGACGTCCATCGAAATCATTGTGGCGACATGCGAAAAGCATCAACAAGCATTGATGGAAACACTGATGCATGCCGAGATCATTCGTCATCATGGAGCTGGGTGCTGATAGTTACTTGCTGATCAGCAAGGATGCAAAGCCTGACAGGGTCTAATCTTGTTTAAGCTGCTGGTCAGCAGCAGGGAACCCTTGCTGAACAGCAAGGGTTTTCGTTGACCAACAAAGGTTTAAACGCTTTTGGTTTAAGCACTTATTGAAGTTTCTGCTGCTGGACGGCTGCACGGTTTTAAAAAAGTCGCTGTCTAACCTGGCTTAAGCTGCTGGTCAGCAGCAGGGAACCCTTGCTGAACAACCAGTTTCAAGGCAGCTGTTAGGCGAGTAATGGCATCTTATGGTTTAATCATGATATAATTGGCTGGTGTAAATAAATTTCTGCTGCTGCGCAGCAGCAGGGTTCACCTAGAATCTTCCTGGCCAGCAACCATTTAACCTAGTTTAAGCTTCTGGTCAGCAACAGGGGACCCTTGCTGAACAGCAAGGTTCTTGTTGGCCATTAATGGCTACGATGTTTGTGATTCATATGGTTGCCTATTGAAGTTTCTGCTGCTGGACAGCTGCAGGAAACCGTTGCTAAAAAGGAAGGCTGCTGTTGGCCAACGGTGCTTCTAAGTTTTCCATCGCTGGACAGCTGCAAGTTTCAAAAGGATGCGGTTGGCTAGCAAGATTCTAGCTGAACCTTGCTACTGCGCAGCAGCAAAAAGTTAACTGGCGCCAGCCATTTATCCCATGCCTGAACCATAAGATCATCAGTTGGCCAGCAACTGCCTGGAAACTTGCTGTTCAGCAAGGGTTCCCTGCTGCTGGTCAGCAGCTTAAACAAGATTAGACGGTTGCTGGCCAGCAAAATTCCAGCTGAACCCTGCTGCTGCACAGCAGCAGACAGTTAGTGTCACCAGCCACTTATACCATGATTGAACCATAAGATCATTAGTTGCCCAACAACTGCCTTGAAACTTGCCGTTCAGCAAGGGTTCCCTGCTGCTGACCAGCAGCTTAAGTTAGGATAGGCACTTGCACGTCAACAGACTTCTAGCTGAACCCTGCTGCTGTGCTTCAGCATTAAAAACCATTGTCACTGAAACCTGCTGCTCAGCAAAGGAATCCTGCTGCTGGCCAGCAGCTGAAATTTTCGCATGCAATGAATTCAAAACGTGCTTAATGTTGATAAGTCTGCATTGTGGGCGCACGAGGTGCGCAATTTGATGAAAAAAAAAGGCACTTGGCAGCCACTTGCTCCAGCAGCCACTTGGCAGCCACTTGCTGCAGCCACTTGCTGCAGCCACTTGCTGGGCAAGTGTCTGCGAGTGGCTGCAAGTGGCTGCAAGTGGCTGCTTGAGCAAGTGGCTGCTTGAGCAAGTGGCTGCCAAATGGCTGCCAAGTAGCTGCAAGTGGCTGCAAGTGGCTGTTGAGCAAGTGACAATACGACTAACAAGTGGCAATTTTCCTTTGTATTGGTATTGGGCTTAAAGATATTGTCCATAATGTCCCCCCCGGTGTGATAGACAGTCCCGGGCTATGCGACATAGACCTTGCAAAAACATGCAAAAACAACTCTAAACAAGAACAGCAACAACAACAAGAAGAAGAACAAGAACAAAGAACAAGAACAATAGAACAAGGAGAGCAATGAGAACAAGGAGAACAAGATGGAAAACAAAACGGAGAACAAGAACAAGAACCACAACAAAAACGAGAACAAGAAACATAACAAATATCAAGAACAAGAACACAACCACAAAGACAAAACTAAGAACAAGTCCTTAACTTTCGATCATCCTTGATGCTACGCCGCAAAATCTTGCCCTTGATTTTCGAACAGCTTTGATGCCACGCTGTCAGATCACAGCCTGTTCTTGCAATCATCCGGGTTGCTACCGTGCAAGATTTGGTCCTTAACTTGCAAATCTTTGTTGCTACGAAGTAAGATCTTGTCCTTAACCTTCAAACATGTTGGATGTTACGCTCTAAGATTCTGTTTGTCTTGTCCCTAACCCTCAAAAGTGTTGGATGACACGCTGTAAGTTCTTGTCCTTAACAAACAAGAACCAGAACAAGAGCAACTATCACAACCACGAGAACAAGATCAAAAGCAATAACCACAAGATCAACAACAGTAACAGTAACAGTAACAGTAACAACAACAACAACAACAACACCAGCAGCAGCAGCAGCAGCAGCAACAGCAACAACAACAACAACAACCACAACCAGAAGAACAAAACAAAAACGAGATAACAAAAAAAACAAGAGCAATAACAACAATAACAACAATAACAACAGCAATGACAAGAACAAAAACAAAAACGAGAACAAAAGAAATAATAGCAATTTCTTTGAAGATCTGGATGCTGCCCAAGAAGAGATTGTCCGGAGCCCTCAAGCATTTTGTATGATTTTGGTTGCTATGGAGTAAGACTCTATCCGACTTTATCCTTAACATTCAATGATCTTGAGTGCTACGGTGCACCGTAAGATCGTGCTCGTGACATTCAATCATCTTGGACGCTACGCTCGAAGCTCTTGTCCTTAACTTTGAACATCTTGGATGATATGCCCTAAAACTCTGTCCTTGAATTACAAACATCTTGAATCTTGGATGCCACGCTGTAAGACCTTGCCCTTAATCTTCAAACACCTTTGATGCTACGGTGTCAGGTCTTGTCCTTAAGTTCCCAACATGTTTGATGCTACTCTGTAAGATCCTCTCCTTAACTTTCCAGCATCTTGGATGTTACGGTGTAAGACCCTGTCCTTAACTTTCAATTATCTTGGGTTGTACGGTGTAAGATCTTGTCCCCAACCTTCAAACATGTTGGATGATACGCTGCAAGTTCTCGCCCTTCCCGGGTAAAAACAAGAACCACAACAGCAAAAACAAGATTAAGATTCTGGTTAAGATTGGTATTTTCCTTCAACCAATCTGTTGATGGTCGACTTCAAAACTCTGCAGGGCCTGGTTTATAAAATTTGATATAGGTATGACGATGGAATTCGAACCTCCGCCAGTTAAAATATACCTTTTAAATCAATGATGAAATGCTCAATACCCAAAGTTATAAGTTATAACACACTCAAAGATGTTATGACCCGCAAAACGGCGACTTACAAACCACGCTTGGGACTCACCTACTAAGGTAAACCATCATGATGATTAAACAACCCACAAAAATTACTAAACAGGTAGTCGTAAGTTCGCTGGCTGCAAGTGGGCGCTGGCCCTCAAATACAAACAATCTGGCCCTTTGTTTTCCTCTTCGAAACAGCTTTTATACCTATGTTTCAATCGGTGGGGGTAGTGGCTGGTGCATGGCTGCTAGCAATCTACGACAGACAATCTTGAACAAAAAGTAAAGTCTACAACATCATTTTTTTTTTAAGATGCCACGTCGCTGCAGATGGCTGCAATCAGTTGCAGCTAGTTGCAGCCACTTGCAGCCACTTGCCCAAGCAGCCACTTGCATCCACTCGCAGACACTTGCCCCGAGGGGCTGCAGCAAGTGCCTGCCAAGTGGCTGCCAAGTGGCTGCTTGAGCAAGTGGCTGCCAAGTGGCTGCAAGTAGTTGCTTTTCCGAAAATCAAAATGATGCACGTTTGCTCGCTCTCTGTAAGTTTGGTTTCTCAAAACTAAGGTTCCCAAAATGGAAGCCTCAGAATTGTCAAGAGCGATCATGAACGCTAAGGGCGCTTAATGTTGATAAGCTTGGTTTTTCAACATCAGGGTTCCCAAAATGGATGCATCAGAACTGTCGAAAACCATCATCAACATCAAGGGCACTAAGTGTTTATAAGTTTGTCTTTTCAACATTAGGGTTCCCAAAATGGATGCATCAGAACTGTCCAAAGCCAGCATCAATATCAAGGGCGCTTAGTGTTTATAAGTTTGGGTTTTCAACAGTAGGGTTCCCAAAATGGACGCACCAGAATTGGAAAGCAATTATCAATGTTAAGGGCGCTGAACGTTG